TAGCAGACACGTTTTTGTCCCGTTACAGGTTGTGATATTGCTATGGCGTGTACGTATGTAGCAGACACGTTTTTGTCCCGTTACAGGTTGTGATATCGCTATGGCGTGTACGTATATAGCAGACACGTTTTTGTCCCGTTACAGGTTGTGATATTGCTGATAAGTTGGTAGAGGCTGGTGTTGTAAGGAAACTTGCTACTGATGCCTCTGCAGACACTCCTGCTGCTCCAAAACAAGAGGGTGCTGCAGCCGAACCAGAGTTCAAAAGGTAGAAAACATTTTGGAAATAAACAATATTTAAAATTTGCTTTTAAATATATAACATGATAAGCAAATTAAAAAAGATAACAGGTTTTAACTTTTTTACTGTCAGTTGGAATTCAAGTTTTTGCTAAACAATCCTTTTGATGTTGACAGAATTTCTGTGATGGCTAAGGACCTGGGAAGTGTAGCCGACACCCTCAGCCCCAATGATGTTGTCCCCATCATGATCACGGATGTCACCTCCCCAGCTGAGTTTGTGGTACAGCTCAACCTCGAACCTCTCATACGACCATTTGCTACCTTCAGTGCAAAAATCAATAATGCTATGCAATCCACGCCTGTTGGCTACAAGTAAGTTGATATGTTTTGATTGTGAAATATTCAAGTCTGCATAAATTTAACAACTTTATTTTGCAATAGTTATTTTTCTTATGCTGTGTAGTCATTTTTTTTTATGGAATGTAAGTTTGGGTGTTTTGACATATCCGTGGTAAAAAAGCACAAAATATTTACATCAATGAGATAAAATGTTTAAATTTTCAGTGTCTTTCAATTTACCTGTCTTTTTTCCCACAACAATTTTTTACACTTGTGTAGAGATATCAATGTAAGTTAAGTATTGGAGGTAATGAATACCCAAATCAACCCGATTTATTAATAAGTTTTTATGTCACAGTGGTGAATCATCTATCCAGATAGAATGAGTTCTCGTTATCTCAACACATAGAACACTTGGTTAGTAATCTGTTTCCCAGGTTCCACTCTGAGCGAATGAACTTGGAATTAATTGATAATTACATAGAAGTCTACCTAGGAATCTGGGTACTGTGTACTATATCCTTAGCCTTGCTCTTCTAAGTGTTGCACTATGAAAACCACGCTCCTAGATACATAACAATTTTGTAACTTATCGTCACAGAAAGACGAACCTCTGGCATATGTTACTGGGATATTACAAAAATTTAATTCACAAATTAACAACTTCCATTTTAGGGCAAAACATCCAAAGTTTTAACTGCAAAAAAAACCTTGTTTTGCAATAAAAAAAGTATGAGAAATGTATCTCATAGTTGGCATTCATCTTTTGTTGTAACTATTTATCTTTTAGTCTATATCTACGTATATACTATTAGTAATATTTTCTGAATTGTTAGTTTAAATAAAATAAAATTAATGATTCATTGAATAATGTATATTATTTTATCCAACATCACTTTCATATAAAAGCATTGTGTGGGTATTTCCAGGCCGCAGCAGGTTGGTGAACTGGTACTAGGGATGTACGAGGGAGTTTGGTACAGGGCAGAGGTCATCAGCCTCGATGACAAGGAGGCAGAAGTTCGCTATATTGATTTTGGTAATAGCGAGATGAAAGAGTTCTCTCTGTTGTCAGCTGCTATTGAGTCTTGTGATTCCTTACCTGCCCAGTCTGTCAGATGTTGTTTATATGGAGTAAACCCTCCAGAGGTTTGGCCGCAGACTATCCTTCAATATTTTGCAGCATTGACAGAAAGCCCGCTTGAAGCGGAATTCAAATGTATGAAGGACAATATAGCCTTGATTGACATAAAAGAAGAAACAGACATGAGGACAGTCTCTTCGTCTATCAAACTGGAACTGGAAAATCAAAAGCCTGGGTCTGCACCTCCAGTTTCTACAGTGCCTGAAGTGGAGAACCCTAGTGTCTCTGCACCTCCAGTACAGGCAGTTATTCCTAAAGTAAATTCAGATAAAGTCACAGACACGGGGCCTATCATGGCTTCCGATGTTTCCGTGGAAACCCTACCATGTACAATTGAAGAAGCAGCCATATCATCCATTGTGGACTTTGAGTCTTTCTACATACAACTCGCAAAATTGGGGAGGAAATTAGCGGAATTACAGGAGAGTATTTCAGTTTATTGTGCTTCTGCTAGTCCATACAAACCAGTTCAGGGTGAGTTGGTGTGTGCCAAGTATTCCCTAGATGATCAGTGGTATCGGGCCAAGGTGATAGAGACACTGGAGGAAGGTCAATTCAATACTCAGTTTGTTGATTACGGTAACTGTGAGGAGGTCGGTACAGACAATATCAGGAAGTTGGTTCCCTCACTTAAATCTCTGCCCTGTCAGAGTATTCATTGTAAACTTCATAATGTCACCAACGAGGGCCAGTCACAAGAGACCCTCCAAGCCTTTGCTCAGATAGTTGGGGGAGGTAAAGTCCAGGTGGAGGCACAGAACATTGACGGAGGTGTGTTCTCCATACTTCTCACTACCGCCGATGGAGTCGACGTCAACAGTATGTTCCAGGTAAAGGTCACGAGTAATCACCAACTCTCCCCACATCCTGAAGAACGGAAGACGGGGAAAGTTAAGCTGTCAGAGATAGCAAAGTTTGAACCTCAGGAAAAACAGTTTGATGTTGTCATCTCGTATGTTGCGAGTCCTGAAGAGTTCTACTGTCAGCTGGCCAGCACAGAAAGTAAGTGTATACAACAGAGGCTGCTCTATAATCCACTTGTCGTGAGAAACAGGCTTTTTCTTGTAATTATTTGATGAATTTTTTCAACAGAAATTTACTAAATTAACAACACATTTAGCATGTCATCCTATATAAGTCTTTAAGTATCGTTAGCGATGAGTATATTTTGTATAACATCGTAAGTGATTATTATATTTTGATAGAAAATAGTACGGGAGTGAATTACCCTTACTATATGTTAATGAATGTTTTTTGTACACATCAACCCCAAAATGTAGAGTGGGTATTTCTGTTTGGACCTAGGATCACACACAGGTTTCATAATCTTACATCAATGTCATAGACATGCTTGTCTGATCATAACATCATAGATATGAGTATTATGGCGAGATACATACCACACACAGGTCAAGGTAATGGTGTTGGGTCAAAGGTCACTGCAACGTTTAATTTTTCTGGATGAACTGTGCCAACTGAATCACTGAATATTTTTAGCTCACCTGGTCCTATGTACCATACCCAGGTCCGTAACCTCAGGTTATGCAGTTTGTACCAATAGAAATTTATCATTACTGGACATTTGGTTAGGTAAATCAAAAGTTTATCAGACAAAACACACACTCTCCATACCATATGTTTTAACAAGAAAGCAAGTTTCTTATTCTAAACATTTGAGCTTTTCAAAACCAAGCAAGTTAAATATAACCTATCATTTTTAAGACATGATTAAGTGAGAAAATTATCATTGTCTCAAATTCTAACTGGTCATGGGTCTGTGGATATTGTACTGATAAAATTAAGGATTTGCCAAGGAGCTTGCAAGTATCTGAAGGCGGGGGACAGCTGGATGACCTAACAAAATAAAACTGGCAGGAGGTTATCAGACCTTTGGACTGGCAGTGGAAATATTTCAAATAAAATGGCAGATAGCCATAAGTGCTTGTCAGGACCCATATATAATACAGTTCTCGACTGTGAAACATTATTTGATTAAACACCAAAAGTGATGGCAATGTTGAACATATAGGTTTGTGTAATTTGAATAGTGGGTATGTCATACATATTGTACAGTGTATTGTATTAGTCACTTGTAACGCAGTTTTAAAAGGTCTACTTGAAATATGACGGACACACACATGTACACATTGTCATCTTTTACATGAATTTTGACTTGTAGACATCCAAGCCCTGGAACTCCTGCTGCAGAATATCATGTTACAATGTGAGATGGGGAACACAGACCCGTCATTCACACAAGAGGTGGATGACCTCTGCTGTGCTCACTTCACCGGTAAGATTTTATTTCTGATACTTAATTGTTGCACACACCTTTTTAGGGGCCGCGGTGGCTAGGTAATGGCCATAGGTCGGTGGTTTTTCTCCAGGAACTCTGGCTTTCCTCCACCACTGAAACCTGGCACATCCTTAAATGACCATAGCTGTTAAAAGGACGTAAAACACAAACCAAACCAAACCAAACTAACCTGGCCGAAAGATTGTTAAGCTTTTTGTATAACGGCACTGCATTCGTCATCTGTCAACCTTTTAGTGTAAAAGTAGGCAGTTTCATTTCAAAAACCCACTCTTCCTGCAGGACTGCAACGATTGCTACCATATTTGGTCTTTTAAACATCACCAGAGCAAGGTGATAATATCTTGTAATAGCCAGGTTGATGTGGCCTCTAGAGCCAGACGGGTGGAGCATTATTTAGGCCAAATAAGGGACAGAATTTGCCAATTCAATTTTTAAAAGCATCTTCCTCCTGAATAGCTGCACAGATTGTTTCTGTACATAGTGGGTCTGAAATATTACTGGGGCAAGGCGATCACATTGTTTCTGTACATAGTGGGTCTGAAATATTACTGGGGCAAGGCAATCACATTATTTCTGTACATAGTGGGTCTGAAATATTACTCGGGCAAGGCGATCACATTTTGTATGAAGAAGGTTATTGCAGCCGTGGTGCCAGAGTAGTGGGGCCACAATACCACTGGTATGTTAATACTTTAGATTTGTTTAAAGATCACCACCATATGTAACTACATACACACATATATAATGAGCATGAAGAGATGAATACAATCATGCAGCCAGAATTGGCTCTTTGATCTGGCCCTGCCACTGGGAAGTTAGTCCCCGAGTCATCATATGACTAAAGTTGAGATCTCTACCCCATATAAACGTTATATAATAATAATAATTTGAGGTTCTTATACACCGCTTTATCACAACCTAGTTTGTAGGTCGTCTCAAAGCAGTTCACAAATGATTATCCGTGGCTATAGGACCTTTGCAACCAGCCAATACCTTTCTCAACTCCCTGGGGAGCATACAGTCGGAGCTGCCATTTCGGCGCTAACAGCTAGAATTCAACAATTCTAGCACTGCCCAACCACATACTCATTTACAGCTGAGTAGACTGGAAAAGTGGAGTAAAGTATCTTGCTCAAAGATACAACACGGTGCCATGCAGTGACACGCAACCCTTCGGTCACGAGCCCGGCATCCTACCACTAGTCCTTAGGACATAACATGGAAACAAGTGAGATATCTCTGTATAACCATATATGGATTGGATATGAAGCATTCTTGGTCCATAGAACCTGAGAATCATTTGTGGTACATGTATAAAGAATGAATGTAGCACTCCTGAGGACAAATGAGGTTCTCATTACAAAATACATAGTGAGCAACACATTTCCTATTGGCATCCTTTTTCTGAAGTGGTAAAATAAGTTTTATTGAATTGTTGTAGCACACATTAACTTCACTTAAAGCATGTGAAATACACAATTATGACGTTTTATTAGGCATTAACCTTTAAGCATTTGTAACTTGGAAAAATATTGAAATCTTTCTTTCAGTTGTGGATTTCTTGGTAAATATTATTTCTCATATTGTGATGTGATTTTGTAGATGGGTCGTGGAACAGAGCTGCCATTGTGAAGGTTTTCCCTGACAATACACTTCTTGTTCATTTCCTCGATTTTGGTAACACTGAGATTGTGCCAAGGGACAAAGTGCGACCAATTCTGCGCGAGTATATAGAACTTCCTGTACCGGCTTTCAAGTGTTCCTTACAAGGTAAGTAATGTCAATTGGGAGGTGTCCACTTACTCCTTCCTTACAGAGAGAGATTTTTACCTTGTAGATTCTTCTCTATTTCACCCCTGCAGGTGAGGGATCGGGAAAAGAATACACCTGCTGTTACCCACTGCATGTATCATAGGAGGCGACTAATCTAGGAACCCCCTGCAGAACTGTGGATTTGCTTTGGTGTCCTCTATTTGGGGACCAAGAGACCAAAAAAAATCTGCTGCACCCATTGCAATATTTGGGATCTTTATCTTTCTTTCTACTTCCAACAACCTTTTATTTCCTAGCGCCTAAGCCCTTGCTTGACAACACCTCACTTTTGGCCTTAATGTTGAGCGTTCGCCCAGGCAAGGAAGGCAATGGGTTCTGTCCCCAGACCGGGATATACCATAGTCCTTAAAAATGGTACTTATTCCCAGCATTCAGTGGAAAGGCAACAACTGGTTCACCCGTTGTCAGTATAATGTGACTGGGTGGATTGCTGTGCTGGGTGCCTGGTATGGTATTTCAGTGTGATAGCACTATAAAGTTGGCATCAGATCTGCGCGACAACAAGGAGGCAAGCACACCTGTCTCCTGCATACACACACAAAAGCATGCACACACTACACACATGCTGATATAGAGGCACATCCTTAAATGACCTTAGCTGTTAACATTGAACACCAGCTATATCTCAGAAGTAAAGCTGTTTCATATATAAAAATGGAGAGGGTCCCCCCCCCCCCCTTCGGTACGGCTGTTCTATGATAAAAATAGGTAAGGTCCCCCCCAGTATACTATGCAAATTTGAAGTACATGTACTAGTATTGCTTTCTTTTGGTCATATTTTGTGATCTTGTTTCAATAATATACTTTTTTGGTTTGAATTTTGCATAACTGGTCACAGTCGGTAGTCCTGACCGACTTGTTCAGTTTATTTTGCACATATTTTTTCATGCCTTAAATAAAGCATAAGAAAAGAAAAGCAGTAAGAAATTAGTAAAATATCGGTGCTCTCCAGTGTAGCACTAGGTACAACAATAAAATCAATATTATTTCTTGGCAGGTTTGAGTCCGTTAGACACAAATTGGACAAGAGAGGCCTCCAATAAGCTTGAGACATTCTACAACAAGAGACTGACGGTCCAGATCCTTGGTAAGGTGGGCAGTCAGTACATGGTGGAGCTGAGTGAAGGGGATGTTAAAGTCTCCGATCAATTGGTTCAAGCTGGATTTGCTAAGAGGGCTCAAGCAGAGCTCAGTTTACCACCGGACGGTGAGTCAAATGTGAAATTAACTCTAAAACGCACAAGTTTGTTTAAACCTGTTATCAGAATACTAAATATTTATTTATCTATATGGTAATTATTATGACTCATCAGTACATTAAGGTCAATCATGTCAGAAACTGGCTGAACAGAAAGATTGTCAATAGAGATACTCGTGTTACTATTAAATGTATTGTTTGTTGTCAAATCACAAATAACATCCATTTGTGAAAATGTTCCTAAATTTGACAAATGGATGGTATTGAATGAGACGTTTTTTCCAATACTTATATAATATGTGAATATGTTAGGTACAGTGAGTTGCTATGTAAATCTGATATTTTGGGTTGCTGTGCTACAGTGAGTTGCTATATATGGTCGAGAGTTTGTTGTGTTCTGACGCTTAATCCATGTCTGTCCTAGATTTTTCGGTTATTTTGTTGCTATGGCAACCGATGTGTAAGTTGATTCTGTGAAAATTTATAGATTTCGTTGTTATTTCAATCTGTTTCAGAAGCTGGAGCTCAGCCTCCCAGCCCAGATGAGGCCGACTCCATCAAGCAACAGATTGCTGCTCTCGAGGCACAACTACTGGAGTTAAACAAAAAGGAAAAGAAGGGTTAGAGGTAATTGTCAAGTTTGGAGAGTAGTTATCACCCATGAAATAATAAACTAGGGACCAGTATTTGTAAAAATGTTAGCATTCTCAAACTTTGTTTCTTTACTTGAGCTGAATTCAAGTCAGGAAAAACCTTATACAGATTTCATGTTTCAAGTTTCGTTTGTACTGGTAGACTAAACTTGTAACCGAGTATCATTTCAAGTGCTAAATGTTTGCTTTTTTCATCCTGTGGCAATAACCAGTAAAGAGTTTCAAGGAAGTATGTAGGCCTATAGCTATCTTGAATTTAAAACAAGAACAAAGGAAAAAGGAGACAGTTATTCAGAGTCATTTTGTAGTCAGGAAATTCCTCAGATCTGACCGAGTACTTTTAAAGTGTTGGTTAATGTTACAAAAATACTGAATTTTAAAGTACTAGAAACAAATTAAACTTTCTCTGTACCACTGCTGTATTCACTGTAATTTCCACATTTCAATGTGTCCACTTAGTTTCAATACAACATTGTTTAAATCAGTTAATACCAGTGTCTGCACCACTTCAGTGTGACGTCTTAATTAGTTGATACCAGTGTCTACACCACTTCAGTGTGACGTCTTAATTAGTTGATACCAATATCACTGTCAACATTATTTCATTGCAACATTTTCTACTCTAATTAACGAGTTTGGATCTGACTTGTTACTGTTCCTTGATTAGCTTGTGTTTTCAAAGAATAAGGAGGCTTATTAATGTCAATGAATTAATTAATTTTGACTTCTTGATGAAACAGTATGTCACAAAACACATAGAACAATTAATCTCTCATTTCTACCAGGTAAGTTTAATACCATGGACAGTATTTTTGGTAAATAATTTCTGTCCAATTTATGCTACAGAATGCTCATCATTTTTGTTGTCTACATCTGTAGAAATTGCATGCGGATAAATTTGATCAATAAAACTCTGTTTTCATTCAAATAGAGACGAGGCATGCGGATAAATTTGATCAATAATACTCTGTTTTCATTCAAATAGAGACGAGAGTGATTTGGCTTCATGGTGAAGTTTTTATGGCGGATTACCGAAGCAGACCAAGAGATTGATTCTACCGGCTGCTGATCGATACCAACTGCATTCAAGAATACATCTGTTTGCCTGGTATTTGTAAATGGACAATCAACCAAACATATAGACCCAGGTGGATTTACAGTTAGACAATTGAGACGTTTCAAGAAGAAAATGAGACACGTGTTGATGTGAGCAAATCCCATGTGTTGTAATATTAACCAATCGGTTGTATTAGAAAATCTGTATAACACTCCGACACAAGATGTGTAGACACATGTTGGTACACCGTACCTTTGATAGGTTTGGTGTAAGGTCACTGTCTTACTGCCTCGTCACATCTTCAGCTTGTAGATGAAATCAGCCAGTTTTGAATTTGTCTACAAGTATTCCATGCAGAAGAAATGCCTTCTTGATGAAACAGTATGTCACAAAACATATAGAATAAATTAATCTCTCATTTCTACCAGGTCACAAAACATATAGAATAAATTAATCTCTCATTTCTACCAGGCCACAATCCACCAGGTAACCAGTACTGGTTACCATACAGTAATTTTGAGTTGATACTTACCATTATATATATATATATATTTTTCGAAATCACCCTCTTCTTAATATTGATCTAGAAAGGGTGAAAACGTAATGGCAAAACTTTTCCATTTTCTGCAGTTTACTTCTACAGTGATGGGTGTTTACACAATTAATATGGGAGACAGAACGCTTTCTATATGCAAAAAAATAAATAGTAATTGCTTCAAACAAGTCTCATATTTCATGGATCACAATTAACTGTGATATAGTAACAGTTTTCTTCTGGCTCTTATTCCGAGTGGTTTGTTTTGTTTGAGTATCATTGTGTACCAAGGTTATCCTGTATTATCAGTTTGAATATATGTGTTGGTTTATAACTTCACCCTTTTAACCACGACAACAATGTTGAACACATGTATGAAGATTTTAAGTAGGAAACCTACAATTTGATCACAAGATTGTGGATTATTTTTCTTATATTACCTACAACTGTGTATTTTTTTTTATTTTTTTATTTTTGTTTTTTATTCATTGAGATGAATTGTTAGAATTGAATGCCAAGTTGTTTGGCTGCTGTTAAATGATAACCAATTCAATCTTAGCCTTAACAGTAAGTGTACAATACCTTTTCAAAGTAAATCTGAGTCTATATATATATTATATAATTATAATAAACAGTTAACCTTCTGCGAACAGAAGTAATACAGGAATCAATCGGAGTGCACCTAGAAAACCTAATATGGGGCTAGAAAGCTAAGACCATAATCCTCCCAAAAAATTCATCCACTGGTATTTCCATCTCTCTATGGAACTTGTGTGGTCAAGGAGAATACAGTATGTCCAATGGTGTTTGGGTCTTAGTTTATACCACAGCATCATCACATTCTATGATCCTTTAGAAACATTGATTGTATGAACACAATTATGATGCCTTTTCTACCAATTACATGTAATGAAACTGTAGTTTAGTGTAATTAAAATTGTATTTTTGTTAAGTTTAGATATTTTTTAGGTGATTCAAATCTTAGAAGAAAAAATCAAAAGAGGAGATATAGTTTGCAATACTAAGAGATTTGATTGACTCTTATCTTAATAGAAGTTACATATATTATTTCGTTTAAATTGAATGTGTCTAAAGGCAAGTTATAAGATATATTGTGAGTGGTCTAAAGCCTTGCACTAGATGTTCTGAAATGACTGTCGTGGAAATTATATCCATGATGGGATCTTTTTTCCCCCTACGACCTTGTCACTTATGAGTTCACTTCTTCTTCAGTAATTTGAAGAACAGAGAGTTGATTTTCTCAATGGTAGATAGCCGAGCTGAACTTTATATTATATAAAACAAAAAATGTTATCTTATGGTTTCCAATCCTGATGATTTGTTCCCCACCAGTACAACCAGAGGAGCTAACAGGAGGATCTATACTTTATTAGTCAGTCTGTGTTTCATTTTGGGGTATATACAGTACAGTAAAACCCCACTTACTCAAACTTTTGAGGCCAAGATCAAGTGTTTAAAGGTTGGTCCTAGATCATCAAGTATTTATCTGTCAAATCTAGAGTGATAATTATTAAACATGCGTACGTATTGTAAAACAATACGCATGCTATTCTTAAGCATGTCGGCGATAGCTATGAGTAGTGAAACAAATATAAAAGGAACATAAATAAAGATTTGCAACATTAAATCAGATAAAAAAAAAAAAATCTGATATAAACAGTGTTCGATGTGAAACATTTTCTGATATAAAATTAGACATGTGCATATAAAGCAATGAAACGTAAATCCTAGACGGTAGACTGTAGCCTTCACCCGAAGCATTTTCACAGTACCGGTAAATGTGCTACACAGGCAAAATATCTGTCGAGCGTGACATGTCACACCTGTTTAGGTTGGATTAACACTATGACAATAAAGAGCTTCGGACAAATTTTTGTTCAAGGAATACTGGGAATTGGAGGAATAACGGTCTGACTAATCCAGGGTTACTGTACAAAGAATATGTACGAACTCGATCTGGACAAAACAAACTTAAGACGAATGAGGGGTATTCAAGTAAACCGAGTTTGAGGAAGTGGGGTTTTACTGTATACTCTTTCTTCTACAACTCACAAAGTTTATGTAGAAATTCCTTACGAGATGAAAGAGTGTTTCAAAGTATAATCTGATTTTGTGCCCCACTTTATCCTTTATGGTCGTTAGTTCATCGTGCAACACTTTTTCTGGGTCATATACTAGTGTCTTCTACTCTCTCACCTATACTTGCCAAATTGTTTATGCGAGTACCTCTTAGGATGGCAGAGGGTTGCAAACTGAAATTGTGTCACATGCCCTACAGTATACAAATGTTTCCACACTGTGTTGAACGATGAAAACTGACACATCTTGATAAACATACACATTGCCAGAGTATTTTTATGTTATATTGTACTGATTTATGTCGGTGACATTACAATACTCTACAATAAATGGAGGCAAATTGAAATCCTTTGGCATCTTATTCAATAAATGACTTCCAAATATGAATATATTTGAGAGGTTGTGCAAGGAGGCACTAAACTTTGATAATATATAGGTGGAGGGGCTATCAAAAGGTTTATCAACATTTGTATGGTTGGCTTTAGCAAAAATATGAAAGTAGGTTGTAGGGTGTCTGCTTGTCTGCCCCATCTTCCTATAATTATTTTTTGAATAACCCCCTAGTTTTACATGTTACATAGTGGAATATATCTAACTTTTTTTTTTGTTACACACATTCACAGGCACATTTACCATGGGTTTTATAAAACTGTTAATGAAAATACATCCTTTTATTGTTTTTCTGAAATGTTGTTATCACTTTTGTTTATATATTAGTTATGAATTTTTCTTCATTTTCTTTTTCTTTTTTAATCTTTTTTAAGGACTTGAGCATACATGTTTGTTGCCATGTCCTCTGGTATTGGTTAGAACTAAGGATCTTTTCTATAGACTTAGGGACATACACACTTTTTATTTTGAAACAGCTTCAATAATATAACATGTGAACACAAGAGTCATTTAATGTGTATGAAAATGGTGTTAGATATTGTCTAAAGATATGGAGAAAAAAATTGAGATGATATGAGGAAAATGACTCTTCCGTTAAAGATCTATGGACATCTTGTTGGCACTTTCGTGGAACCATTCCACTAGTAGGTCCATTGCTGTAATCTCTGCAGTGTGGAACATGTCACAACATGCAGTGGTTACTCTTCCACTTGGTTAAGACTGAAGATGGACTTTAAAACGCATAATGTTTTGCTCTCTTGTGTGTTTTATGCATACTTTAAGAAAAAAGATGTTTTTCTTTTTGCATAATTTCTTCTGTGATGTAGCAGAAATGTTTTTATTTCACTGTTAGAATTCTATTGTATGATATGTGGTTTTGGTAAGGGATTATGTTTCCTGTAACCAGCAGTTGTTAAATAAATCTCCCTTATTCCAGGTATTACATATAGTGGGATCAGACAGGTGGTGCTATACTATGTATGTACTGGGAAACACTGTGTAACTTGAAAAACTTCTAATTAATGGTTTTACAATATATATAATACAGTGAAACATCGTAAATCTGGGCTTAGTTAATCAGGAAAACTTTACGTCTGGACAATCATTCTTTTAGATGAATTTAACAATAAGTTTTTAGTTGCTGTCAAACCTGTCTATAAGGACTACCCAAGGGAGATAACAAACCTGTCTATAATAAAACTGCCCAAGGGAGATAAACCTGTCTATAAGGACTGCCCAAGGGATATAACAAACCTGTCTATAAAGGACTGCCCAGGGAGAAAACCTGTCTATAAGGACTGCCCAAGGGAGATAACAAACGTTTCTTAAAACTTTTCCCTGGCAGGTGTGTAGCTGCCATTTAAGCAAATAAGCAGTTGCATGCACATCTAAAATCCTCCAATGTACTATTTTGAATGTGATAGCTTCACAATGCATTCTCATAACAGGCAAGTTGTGAGATTTTGTAGTTCTGAGCTCTGTTGAAAAATGAAATGTTCATGAAAATGTATTATGCTAAATAATTTTTTTTCCATGTTTCATTTTATTTTTTCCCCCGACAATACTGTTGTATCAGTAACAATCAGTTTATTTTTGTTATTTTTAAGATTTCTGAAACCAAAACAAAGAAAATCTTATTATTAAATATATTAAACACTTCAGTATGGTGCTGGAAAGCCACCAGATAGCACACAAGGATATCCAATCTCCTACTCTCAATGGTTAGACGATGAGCTTGTCATGTATGCACATCATTTATAGTACAGCGTGTGCCTGCCTGGACCTAGATTCAGTATACTGTCACTCTAACCAACTGAACTGCCTTGTTGATTGTTGTTCATACTTTCCCACTCTCGCTACAGTTGGATCCAAAACAAAATTAAGGGGAGGTTACTATAGGTACAAAAGATAAAGTGGAACTCTCTAATGTTTTTCCAGCAGTGGGGCAGAGATCCTTCAATTTCTTAATATAGCCTTTATAGACAGTTATGGTAGATAGAAAACACCATTTTCAGTATTTTAAATGTGATCTTTATAGTCAGGTGGTCTTAAAGGGAGGTGTTCATGTATTGTTAAGTTTTTCTTTGACGTTTGTGATTGTAGAAGTTTACTGCTATGCCACATGTTTGTTATGTTTTCTTCATCAATTAACAGAGTCCAATGCATTCCTGTAGTGTTGTTCATCAAAACTTGAAATCTTAAGTCTGTTGAGTACATAAAAACAAAACTGTATTATCAAAAATGGTAGTGTATAACTTACCATGTACATTTAATGATATATATTATGTATTCAACTGTATGCTATCTCTTTTTTCTCTCGTTCAATCGTTTGTGTGTGAACCCCACCATATTGCTGCTTTGTCTTGGTACTTATGTCTGTTGTTCTGGGTTAACCCTTTCACCACTAGGTAACTTGAGTAGACTCTACCGTACATTCATCTGGATGAGTCCATTATGGTCTATAGTGGTGAAAGGGTTAAGGCTTCACAGAAATGTAGGATATTTTTTGTGCAACACTTAACAGTTGCTTTTGAGTTTGCTTGCAATGATAAGACATGGCTGTAAAAAGCAGACATCCTAGGTTCCTTGTGAATTTTAAAATGGGTGTGATCAGTTCATCTTCTCTCAATTTCCCTTGAGAAAAACACGAGAACAATTTCTCACACACAATTGAAAAATGATAATAATAATGTTTTTTTTTCTTTTCCACTTGATATCATTTTGAGTCAAAGACTTATCTTACTAATGTTCATATTTACAATCTCATTAAATCTGAACATCAAGCAATGTGACATTTGTATTTAATACGCTAATCAAAAGCATGTATATTAATCATTTCTCTTCTTAGAAGTGATAACATATGGTGTACTAATGTCTCCATGTCTGTAGGGTACATCAACCCCTATAACTACAGAGGAGCCTTGTATCTGGCCCACTTCACTAAGGATTTACAGCTCACCAGGTCCAACGGACCTTTGAGGTTATGCCATGGTGTGCTGTCCATTGTCTTCATTGTCAGTCTACTTTTTCCTTGAAAAAACTATCTTTCGGAACAACTGATCTGATTTCAAAAATGCTCTAGTGCATCCTTGAGCCCTTTTATAGAATTGAAGTGTGTGGCTTCCTTGGGGCTGAGAAGAAGGGACCAATCAAAGCAAACAGGTGAATTTAAGCCTTTAAAAGACTACTTCTCCATATTTGGTCTGAAACCCGACTGGGCAAGGCAATCATATTTTGTTTACGGTAAACCTCCAGTTAATTCTAATAGGCAGAAATTTTAAGATATTTGAAAAAAAAAAAAATGATTTTCTATTCAACGGTAGATGGAACTCTTCTTACCTACATTTCGGATTGTTCGAATACAAAAAAGACGTACTGATCAATTTTCACATCGACTGTAATCGACAGAGACGTATGATTTGTACATAAATCTGCCACATGTTAACGCTGATTAAGTTTCTTTCTTGCGAAAATTTTCGAGCCCGACCATTTATAAGATCCTATTAGTACGGGGTGTGGAACCTTAATGTCACATCGCTGACAGACACGTGTGTACTGTAATGATACTACTGTATCTACAATTAGAGTATAAGATTGCGACCTAGCCACCGATCACTGATCTATAACTTTATAAATATGTTACCTGTACATGTGCGAAAGCAAACAGGTTTGACTGGGTGGTCGACCCAACAGATAATCCGTAACTGTAGTTTAAATTCACCCTCCACATTCTGATCAAATGCAATTGAACTCCCGTCAATACTCAAGAAAACACGTACTGCTTTTGCTGTCTCATATCAAGGACTTGACTGTTTGTTGTGATTGTTACTAATGTTGGCTCGGATTGTTTGAACTCTTTATTATTGCGGCTGTATTTTCATGTTATTTGATCGTGATTGACAGTATTTATTTAAGTTTGTTCCATCTGACTGGAGGTTTACCTTAAGTGAAGATTGAACATCCGCTGGGGCCAGAGGGGCAGGGCTTAAAATGTTTGTAATTAAGCTTTTTTCGCTTAAAAATCCTAATCCTTCTGCACGACTAACAGCTGCAGTCCCTATTACAGCTCATATTGATGAGCATAGATGTCAACAGGCTTAAAATTGAAAAAAAAAAATCCAGGTGAGCTATAAAGACCCCTGGGCTTCTTGTAGTATGTTGTCACCAGAAGATTTCCTGTGAGCGAGCTCACTTATATTTTCAGAAAGTCACAAATAAGTCTTGCATTGAAGTTCTTCAGTATAGGAGATTTTTTTTTTCAAAAAATAAATAAAATCCTCTTCCATCACATTTGCCACATCACTCATCAATTCTTTGTCTCTGTCTTTCTCTTACCCTGGACAGGTGTATCCACACTTTTCCCGTTCCGAGATATTGTCTCACCTTAGGGTTGAGACGGGTGGGATTACCCCTATTCATAACAATTGTATGATGTGACATCAACAATGCATCGTCACGTCACGTCGACCCTGAATTTAGCCTGTAACGTTAACATTACATTATGTATAGGGATGGCAGAACCAAATGATTTTCCATAGACGATAGTGTTAACGTTTACCACTGTCCTGGTTAAATGGGGTTATCCACACTGGTTTACCTGCCCTCATTTTGAAGAATATCATCTCGCACAACTGTAAATGAAATATTTAAAAATTCTGCCTATTTGAACTATTTTTATATGGGGGCCGTCATCTTGTATTGAATTTGGCACCAAAAATCAACCAAAATTACACACTTAATAAAAAAAAAACCAGACAAAAGCAAACTTTTAATATTTTTTTTATGCATATTACATCTATATATATTGCTCAACCCACACATAAGCAGCAGGCCCCGAGGCATTCACCTTCCTATTAAATCTTCTGCCCAAAAGGGAAAACCCCACAATCTATATTTGATTTGGTTCCGTGGTCCCTATATGATACACAATGGGTGAACAGGGTAAGAGGAAAAACATAAAGCCTTGTGTTTGGCAACTGAAGAATCTTCCCCCGAGGGTTCAGTTATTCACAGGATAAGAGATTCTATTGATCCTTGAGGAGGTCTTGGGTGTGTTTAAGTCTGGTTGATGGTATAGAAAATTATTATTTCATTTTCAAATTTGTGAAGGGTTGTAATTATTTTTATCAAATTTGCATATGAAGTTCATCTTTTTAATAATTTTCAATGGGTAATGACTACTGTTGAATCATTCAAGCTTTCAGATTTTTCATATTAATTGGACAGTATGCAGACTTTGCATAATGCTTTTGATCAACAGGATAACATTGCAGAAATTTCTTTGGCATTGGTGTATTTTGTAGTTGACAATCGGATATAATTTTCTTTACTAAACACAGCCCAGGTGTTGAAGAGTATTAGAATACTTCCAACAGGGCGTTTTGTTATTTTCAGTTTCCACATATTTTACTGTTAAACAAACAAATAATCATCAGGATTGCACCTATAGATTGTTATGGAAACAATGGATATAATTTCAGACAATGCTATGTTTGCAATGATCCCTGTATGTCCTGTTGGGGCATTTTAGTAAAACTGGAACTTTCTTAATAATGATAAAGTTTGTCAAAGATATGACCTTGTAAAAAAAAAAATGATCATATATTAGATATGACAACTAAACTAGTATGTTGCACAATGCTATTCAGGATGTTTCATTCATATTTTTCTTGGCAAGTTGGACATCTTGGCCTCGCTAGTATGAAACGGTTCAGCTTTGTACAACTCTGGGACTCCCAGTCTGTACATGGCCTGAACATGGCGTGAATAGCTTGATGGATCTGACTGACATAGAGTTTATGTACTGTAATGTACCCTATGGAAGTCTGATACATATATCATTGTTTGCTTTCTTGCATCAAAGTCAATAACTCTTGACAAATTATTAAAAAAAATGTAGGTTTGTTTTTATTTTCACAATCATACAAGATTTACATGTAAATGAATACTACTCGATGAAGAAAGGTTTTTGAAATTATTAAATTGAAGTGTTGTGTACATAATTTGCTTTGGGAAACTCTTGTATCATATTCTTTTTCCTATATCTGTACTTAAGGATAAGCACTACTACTTTACTGTGAAATCTATCTTCTTTTCATAAGAGTTTCACAAAAAGAAAACTGTAAATTTTCTGATCAGCTCATCCCCAACTTAATGCAAAATCTTAAAACATATTTTCAAAAAGATTGAAACTTATAGCTTAGTTAAATACATGAGGATGTAGAATCATCTTATAAAAACAAGCACGAAAATATTTGTAAATTTTTAAATGTGTCTCAAAATAAATCTTTTGAATATTTGCATTTCCTACTCGATGAGCTTATCAGGATTTGAATATTATTTGATGTGGCATTTATCCTTTAAATGAACTGTCTTTCCTTTTCTTGAGTCAATGTTTTGATTACAAATCTTAATCAATGGCTATATGTCTTCTCGAAACTGACCTACGGTTGATTTTTCCCATGTCATATGGAGAGAGGGTATTGATACCACTTGACAGTTCATTAAGTACAAACTAAAAAAAAGTCTTTCTGTTTTGAAGTATGGTTAAATAACTAAGAGAAATTTTTTATTTCTATTTTATAAAACCAATGTACAGTGGACAATAATGTTCAAACATTGGTGCAGTCCTAAGACGATTTGTTTTGCAATTGTCAAGGTTGTTATTCCTTTAAGCCTCATTTATCAATAAAAAATTATATCCAGTTTCAGTTTTGTCTTTTTTCAATCGGGCCTACTTTCAGTGATACACAGTATATTACGAAATGTCCGAGAGAATGACAATTAGTGGCAGGATAACTCTAATGAAAGTTGGTCAGTCACAAGGGAAACTAATCGAAATGCACAATTTCATATGTCATTGAGTAATACAATGATCAAACACTTGGGCCCGTATTCATGAAACCGTTCTCATACTCAAGCATGTATTTTGTGCTCAAGCTGAATTTCTTGTTCCGGTTATAAATTAATAAACAAATATTATTTTGTTAATGATTTGGAATTTTTTCTTAAAGATACTTCAAGCCAAATACTGTTTTCAATGCTGACATTTGACTTTTTTTTTTTTTTAAATGATTTAATAGAGTAACCAAAAAAGTTGGTTTGAGCATGATAACGGTTTCATGAATATGGGCTCAGGTTTTGCCAAGTGCTAAACTTAAATCTTATTGTGAGTGTTGTGATTTCTGGGTCTGCATCACACAAGGGTGTTTGATTGTCTTTTGAACACTTTTCTACTGTAAAAAAATAAAATGTAATGATGCACCAAATGTACTGTGCTATTCATTTTGTATGAACTGCAACACAATTGCTGACTTGATATGGATAGTTTGTCTGTAGAAAAAAAGTATTTGTAAATTTTCAGGTATCTCAAACATTTGAAGGGGGAAATTTGCATTTCACAAAGCAAGCGATGACTGGATTCAGTAATGAGATGCATATACTAATAAAGTGAGAAGTTTTGAAAAATTTTGATCTGCTGAATCTTTATACTTTATACAAATTTAAACTTGAATGTAGATGATGGTTGCTTTTATGATCAGAAAACCTGTTTTCATTCTAGGAAATTTTGATGTACAAGTCAGCTAACACATTTCATTCACCGAAACTCTTGTAAAATAAATGGTGTTTTATCTAATTTCCAATATCTTCACGAAGACAATTTTGTTGTAACATCTGAATGTCCAACACTCGGACAGAATCTCTTCACGAAGACAATTTTGTCACAACATCTGAATATCCAACTGTCAGACCGACAACACAAACAACAATTTGTAAATATAGCATATTTTATTGTCTTCACTTTCACCGATACTTTCAATCTTTCAAATCATTCTTTTTCGATCTGTTCACTTAAATGCCATGGACAAATAATGAAGTAATGTCATAAGGTGGAGTTTAGGTGACTCAAAGACAATACAAAACATTCTGTTATCAGAACTTAAATATTCAAACTTTTACAATAAAACATGTAAAATTCCTAGAGTAAAAAAAATGATCTAGAAATTTACTATACTTTGGCAAAATTCAAACACCCAAACATAAAATTAGATGATCAGAACACCGATGACCAGTTCTATATACTGTATGTAGTACAGCCCGCATCAGGACCGATTGTAAATAGTAAACCTACTGCTGTTTATCATCTATACTACTGCGAAAGTAACAGTTCCCTATTAAAGTATGGTGCATAGACGTGTCGACCAAAGTCCATAGAGTAATTACACTTGTCAATTACTATTAGGTCTTGTTACCAAAGTCCATAGAGTAATTACACTTGTCAATTACTGATAGGTCTTGTTACCAAAGTCCATAGAGTAATTACACTTGTCAATTACTATTAGGTCTTGTTACCAAAGTCCATAGAGTAATTACACTTGTCAATTACTATTAGGTCTTGTTACCAAAGTCCATAGAGTAATTACACTTGTCAATTACTATTAGGTCTTGTTACCAAAGTCCATAGAGTAATTACACTTGTCAATTACTATTAGGTCTTGTTACCAAAGTCCATAGAGTAATTACACTTGTCAATTACTATTAGGTCTTGTTACCAAAGTCCATAGAGTAATTACACTTGTCAATTACTATTAGGTCTTGTTACCAAAGTCCATAGAGTAATTACACTTGTCAATTACTATTAGGTCTTGTTACCAAAGTCCATAGAGTAATTACACTTGTCAATTACTATTAGGTCTTGTTACCAAAGTCCATAGAGTAATTACACTTGTCAATTACTATTAGGTCTTGTTACCAAAGTCCATAGAGTAATTACACTTGTCAATTACTATTAGGTCTTGTTACCAAAGTCCATAGAGTAATTACACTTGTCAATTACTATTAGGTCTTGTTACCAAAGTCCATAGAGTAATTACACTTGTCAATTACTATTAGGTCTTGTTACCAAAGTCCATAGAGTAATTACACTTGTCAATTACTATTAGGTCTTGTTACCAAAGTCCATAGAGTAATTACACTTGTCAATTACTATTAGGTCTTGTTACCAAAGTCCATAGAGTAATTACACTTGTCAATTACTATTAGGTCTTGTTACCAAAGTCCATAGAGTAATTACACTTGTCAATTACTATTAGGTCTTGTTACCAAAGTCCATAGAGTAATTACACTTGTCAATTACTATTAGGTCTTGTTACCAAAGTCCATAGAGTAATTACACTTGTCAATTACTATTAGGTCTTGTTACCAAAGTCCATAGAGTAATTACACTTGTCAATTACTATTAGGTCTTGTTACCAAAGTCCATAGAGTAATTACACTTGTCAATTACTATTAGGTCTTGTTACCAAAGTCCATAGAGTAATTACACTTGTCAATTACTATTAGGTCTTGTTACCAAAGTCCATAGAGTAATTACACTTGTCAATTACTATTAGGTCTTGTTACCAAAGTCCATAGAGTAATTACACTTGTCAATTACTATTAGGTCTTGTTACCAAAGTCCATAGAGTAATTACACTTGTCAATTACTATTAGGTCTTGTTACCAAAGTCCATAGAGTAATTACACTTGTCAATTACTATTAGGTCTTGTTACCAAAGTCCATAGAGTAATTACACTTGTCAATTACTATTAGGTCTTGTTACCAAAGTCCATAGAGTAATTACACTTGTCAATTACTATTAGGTCTTGTTACCAAAGTCCATAGAGTAATTACACTTGTCAATTACTATAAGGTCTTGTTACCAAAGTACATATAGTAATTACACGTGTCAATTACTGATAGGTATTGTTACCAAAGTCCATAGAGTAATTACACGTGTCAATTACTATTAGATCTTGTTACCAAAGTCCATAAGAGTAATTACACTTGTCAATTACTATTAGGTCTTGTAACCAAACTCCATAGAGTAATTACACGTGTCAATTACTATTAGGTCTTGTTACCAAAGTCCATAGAGTAATTACACGTGTCAATTACTATTAGGTCTTGTTACCAAAGTAAATACACTACCAGTATATAAGTTATTTTTTCAGTTGTTAATTTGTGTGGGGCCTTGTTGCCACAAATCATAGTTCATATACTCCATAGTGATTTTACTCTGTCAACAACAGAGGGCCTTTGGTACCAAAGTCCATACACTATATACAGACCAGTAATATTTAGACTTGTTAATTAGTTTGGTGCCTTGTTACCAAAGTCCATACACTATACACAGACCAGTAATATTTAGACTTGTTAATTACTTTGGTGCCTTGTTACCAAAGTCCATACACTATACACAGACCAGTAATATTTAGACTTGTTAGTTACTTTGGTGCCTTGTTACCAAAGTCCATACACAATATACAGACCAGTAATATTTAGACTTGTTAATTACTTTGGTGCCTTGTTACCAAAGACCATACACTATATACAGACCAGTAATATTTAGACTTGTTAATTAGTTTGGTGCCTTGTTACCAAAGTCCATACACTATATACAGACAAGTAAAGTTTAGACTTGTTAATTAGTTTGTTGCCTTGTTACCAAAGTCCATACACTATATACAGACAAGTAAAGTTTAGACTTGTTAATTACTTTGGTGCTTATTTATCAAACTATACAGACCAGTAATGTTTAGACTTGATAATTACTTCGGGGCTTTGTTACCACAGACCAACTACTAGACAGCGGAACCTTATTATGTTGTCACTTGTGATCTCAGCAATGTGGCTCAATTGTGAAAAAGCTGTATGACTTGAAAACTTGCGTACAGAGATGTACAAATCATTACCCTACATCCACGACTTTACTTTGGGGCCACCAGATGAATAGTGGCTTGATTGTAAAAAAGTAAACATATCAATGGTTTGAATTGACACAATCCCCATTTTGAGAGTTCCCTTGTTATAAAATGTGTAGCACAAACAATTCAATAGGAAGGAGTGCCACTGTGTATTCTTATTAAGAGATGTAAGAAATGAGTGGTCAACACATTTGAAAACCAGTTTAACTAATCCTTTACTTTATACAAGACATCTACAGTATAGATAAAAAAGATGGTCCCTTTGTTATGGCACCCTATTCCATATGTACCGTCCAACTGAACAATCCCAACATATAGGAGACCCGCATTGGGTAGATCATCTTTGCTTCATTTTCAATCTTTGTAGAGGTTTTACACCAAAGTCTGTATTATAGACGGTTTTTCATGTAAGTTTCAACCCGCTGAAAAGAAAGCAGATCACGATTAATTTTATGATTTCATTTTCCTGATTTGTATGTACTTTAAAACATGTAAGTTTCAACCCGCTGAAAAGAAAGCAGATCACGATTAATTTTATGATTTCATTTTCCTGATTTGTATGTACTTTAAAACATTATCACTTGTGGTTACTTTCAAGTTAAAGCTTTACATCTTTAAATCATTTCATTGATACTTGTAAAAACTTTCTAGTCGAGATTAGGTTTGAATGAGCGACTGGTACACAAGTCCAGGTTACTACTATTAACCGAATGAATACACGTTTATGGTATTGATTAATATATATATGCTAATTGTATTGACTTTATAAAATTGTATATCTATGTACTGTAAAGTGCTTTAGAGTGGCTTATGTTAGCTAGATAGGGCGCTATATCAAATGCTGTATATTAATTTATTTTTAAAAAGTACTGAAGTGCATATTTTTTAGCAGTAGTCTAATTTTAGCGCTTTTTGCGCATAAAATTTTGCGCTAAATTATGATTGTGCCAATTGAAATCCCAACATATTATTCTTAATGCATATTTTGTGGGTGCGCCAATTCATCAATGCACTAATCTGTTAAAATTTGTTAATGCGCTAAAGTAGGTCGTTCACAGTAATTACACAAAAACATTTTCATGTAACACAGTTTACTGAGCCACACACACAATAGGCTAAAAATGTCAATTTGTGTCAGGTGAGCTGAAAATTGTCTAAAATTCTATCAAATTTGATCCAGAAGAATTGCAGTTACATGATATGGCATCAGTTGATCATTTATATATTAAAAGAAGAAAAATTCTCAACAACGAGTTTTCAGTACTTTCATCTCTTCTAGGAGATTCTTCAGAATATATATATAGGGTATCTGTCACAAGTTTTCCTTCATATTAGATTGACGATACAAGGTTTATATTTTTCATGTTTGTGAGCCTCTGGCGAGCAGATAGGAAATATCATCAATCTAATATGAAAGGAGATGAATGACAGATTCTTTTTATTAAATAATACCAAGTAAACAGTATAATTGTGATCTAAAACGAATATTTTGCACTTGGCCACCTCTGAAATGATGCAAATTGCATCCACTTCACAAAGACGTGACGTCACATTGATTGTTCCTATTCGATTGTGACGCCATTTCCGGAGTCTCAAGCCCTACATTAGTCAGTATTCTTACCTACCAATCGCAAGCCCTTCGTCAGTCAGTATTCTTACCTACCAATCAGAAGTCACAAGACCTACATCAGTCAGTATTCTTCCCTACTAATAAGAAGTCACAAGCCCTACATCAGTCAATATTCTTACCTACCAATCACAAGCCCTCGTCAGTCAGTATTCTTACCTACTAATAAGAAGTCACAAGCCCTACATCAGTCAGTATTCTTACCTACCAATCAGAAGTCCTCGTTAGTCAGTATTCTTACCTACCATTCAGTAGTCACAAGCCCTACATCAGTCAGTATTCTTACTTACCAATCAGAAGTCACAAGACCTACATCAGTCAGTATTCTTACCTACCAATCAGAAGTCACAAGACCTACATCAGTCAGTATTCTTACCTACCAATCAGAAGTCCTCGTTAGTCAGTACTCTTACCTACCAATCAGTAGACACAAGCCCTACATCAGTCAGTATTCTTACCTACCAATCACAAGCCCTTTATCAGTCAGTATTCTTACCTACCAATCACAAGCCCTTCCTCAGTCAGTATTCTTACCTACCAATCACAAGCCCTTCCTCAGTCAGTATTCTTACCTACCAATCACAAGCCCTTCATCAGTCAGTATTCTTACCTACCAATCACAAGACCTTCGTCAGTCAGTATTCTTACCTACCAATCACAAGCCCTACGTCAGTCAGTATTCTTACCTACCAATCAGAAGTCACAAGCCCTTCGTCAGTCAGTATTCTTAACTACCAATCAGAAGTTACAAGCCCTTCATCAGTCAGTATTCTTAACTACCAATCAGAAGTCACAAGCCCTTCATCAGTCAGAATTCTTACCTACCAATCAGAAGTCCTCGTTAGTCAGTACTCTTACCTACCAATCAGTAGACACAAGCCCTACATCAGTCAGTATTCTTACCTACCAATCACAAGTCCTACATCAGTCAGTATTCTTACCTACCAATCAGAAGTCCTCGTTAGTCAGTACTCTTACCTACCAATCAGTAGACACAAGCCCTACATCAGTCAGTATTCTTACCTACCAATCACAAGCCCTACGTCAGTCAGTATTCTTACCTACCAATCAGAAGTCCTCGTTAGTCAGTACTCTTACCTACCAATCAGTAGACACAAGCCCTACATCAGTCAGTATTCTTACCTACCAATCAGAAGTCACAAGCCCTTCATCAGTCAGTATTCTTACCTACCAATCAGAAGTCCTCGTTAGTCAGTATTCTTACCTACCAATCAGTAGTCACAAGCCCTACATCAGTCAGTATTCTTACCTACCAATCAGAAGTCACAAGACCTACATCAGTCAGTATTCTTACCTACCAATCACAAGCCCTACAACAGTCAGTATTCTTACCTACCAATCACAAGCCCTACGTCAGTCAGTATTCTTACCTACCAATCAGAAGTCACAAGCCCTTCGTCAGTCAGTATTCTTAACTTCCAATCAGAAGTTACAAGCCCTTCATCAGTCAGTATTCTTAACTACCAATCACAAGCCCTACATCAGTCAGTATTCTTAACTACCAAGCAGAAGTCACAAGCCCTTCGTCAGTCAGTATTCTTAACTACCAATCAGAAGTCACAAGCCCTTCGTCAGTCAGTATTCTTAACTACCAATCAGAAGTTACAAGCCCTTCATCAGTCAGTATTCTTAACTACCAATCACAAGCCTTACATCAGTCAGTATTCTTACCTACCAATCACAAGCCCTACATCAGTCAGTATTCTTCACTACCAATCAGAAGTCACAAGCCCTTCGTCAGTCAGTATTCTTAACTACCAATCACAAGCCTTACATCAGTCAGTATTCTTAACTACCAATCAGAAGTCACAAGCCCTCCGTCAGTCAGTATTCTTAACTACCAATCAGAAGTCACAAGCCCTTCATCAGTCAGTATTCTTACCTACCAATCAGAAGTCACAAGCCCTACATCAGGCAGTATTCTTACCTACCAATCACAAGCCCTTCCTCAGTCAGCATTCTTACCTCCCAATCAGAAGTCACAAGCCCTTCGTCAGCCAGTATTCTTAACTACCAATCAGAGTCACAAGCCCTACATCAGTCAGTATTCTTCCCTACCAATCACAAGCCCTACATCAGTCAGTATTATTACCTACCAATCAGAAGTCACAAGCCCTTCGTCAGTCAGTATTATTACATACCAATCACAAGCCCTTCCTCAGTCAGCATTCTTACCTCCCAATCAGAAGTCACAAGTCCTTCATCAGTCAGTATTCTTACCTACCAATCAGAAGTCACAAGTCCTTCATCAGTCAGTATTCTTCCCTACCAATCACAAGCCCTACATCAGTCAGTATTCTCACCTACCAATCACAAGCCTTACATCAGTCAGTATTCTTGCCTACCAATCAGAAGTCACAAGCCCTTCGTCCGTCAGTATTCTTAACTACCAATCAGAAGTCACAAGCCCTTCGTCCGTCAGTATTCTTAACTACCAATCAGAAGTCACAAGTCCTTCATCAGTCAGTATTCTTCCCTACCAATCAGAAGTCACAAGTCCTTCATCAGTCAGTATTCTTCCCTACCAATCACAAGCCCTACATCAGTCAGTATTCTTATCTACCAATCACTAGCCCTTCATTTGTCAGTATTCTTACCTATCAATCACAAGCCCTTCATCAGTCAGTATTCTTACCTACCAATCACAAGACCTTCATCAGTCAGTATTCTTACCTACCAATCACAAGCCCTTCCTCAGTCAGCATTCTTACCTACCAATCAGAAGTCACAAGTCCTTCATCAGTCAGTATTCTTACCTACCAATCACAAGCCCTACATCAGTCAGTATTCTTACCTACCAATCAGAAGTCACAAGCCCTTCGTCAGCCAGCATTCTTACCTACCAATCAGAAGTCACAAGCCCTACATCAGTCAGTATTCTTACCTGTGCTTTATTCTCTTCGTCCCTTTGAACACATTGATGAAGCAGTTCACTAAAATTTTAAAAGAATCACATTAATCAGAGTCCTGGGTATATTACAGCAGGTCCTTACGATAGAATCTTTACACTAGCGTTTAGTAACCTCATGATAATTCTACCAACTCAAAATATTGTTACAAAACATCAAATTATAACACAGGAATATATTTCCAGTTGTTTGTGATTTTGTGCCATACTGCCAATGGTCAATTATGTTGTGATATGAAATTAACCTAATAAAGTCTGATGGAAATTCCAAAATGGTAAAAAAACAAAATGCATCTAAAGGAACCATCCAAACCACAGAAAAATAAATATTGTTTTTAATTTTAATATCAGTAAATGAAATAAATACATTGAAATCAATTATATGAGATACTCACACACACTGAGCCTCTTTCAATGCAGCACAGTTCTCAATGATCTCAAAAATAGCCCTGAAATATACAAACAATGTTACAATTATAGTGAACTTATACTCATAAACATCTCTAACCCTAGTACAGTGTACTGTCGTTCTGTATACTAACAGGAAAGGTTGGTTGTATTGTCAGAAGTTTCAATTTGTTTCTGAAAGACATAAAGCAAAGAAATTGCCCTGTGTAATTTTTAAATGTATTGCACTGAGAGCATAGATTTTAGATGTAATGTGTTAAGTCAGTTTTGATGTAGGTTAACATGCAAAATATATAATGTAGTGTTGAGAGTCTGACCTTAGTCACTACACTATCACTTATATAACGTGGTGTTGAGAGTCTGACCTTAGTCACTACACTATTACATTTATAATGTGGTGTTGAGAGTCTGACCTTAGTCACTACACTATTACATTTATAATGTGGTGTTGAGAGTCTGACCTTAGTCACTACACTATTACATTTATAATGTGGTGTTGAGAGTCTGACCTTAGTCACTACACTATCACATTCATAATGTGGTGTTGAGAGTCTGACCTTAGTCACTACACTATCACGTTTATAATGTGATGTCGAAAGTCTGACCTTAGTCACTACACTATCACTTTTATAATGTGGTGTTGAGAGTCTGACCTTAGTCACTACACTATTACATTTATAATGTGGTGTTGAGAGTCTGACCTTAGTCACTACACTATCACATTTATAATGTAGTGTGGAGAGTCTGACCTTAGTCACTACACTATCACGTTTATAATGTGGTCTTGAGAGTCTGACCTTAGTCACTACACTATCACGTATATAACGTCGTGTTGAGAGTCTGACCTTAGTCACTACACTATCACGTTTATAATGTGGTGTTGAGAGTCTGAACTTAGTCACTACACTATCACGTATATAACGTGGTGTTAACAGTCTGACCTTAGTCACTACACTATCACATTCATAATGTGGTGTTGAGAGTCTGACCTTAGTCACTACACTATCACGTTTATAATGTGATGTTGAAAGTCTGACCTTAGTCACTACACTATCACGTTTATAATGTGGTGTTGAGAGTCTGACCTTAGTCACTACACTATCACGTTTATAATTACTATTTTGTAGTTTAACCAGTTATATATGTTATCGATAATACATTTGCTAAAAATAAAATGAAATAATTGTTGTAATTATTTATTCCTTCATTACAAAGTTCACCAATTAACTGTTTACTCGGTCAGACACCAATTAACTGTTTACTCGGTCAGACACCAATTAACTGGTTACTTGGTCAGACACCAATTTACTGGTTAATCGGTCAGACACCAATTAACTGGTTACTCGGTCAGACACCAATAACTGGTTACTCGGTCAGACACCAATTAACTGGTTACTCGGTCAGACACCAATTAAATGGTAACTCGGTCAGACACCAATTAACTGATTACTCGGTCAGACACCAATTAACTGGTTACTCGGTTAGACACCAATTAACTGATTACTCGATCAGACACCAATTAACTGGTTACTCGGTCAGACACCAATTAACTGATTACTCGGTCAGACACCAATTAACTGGTTACTTGGTCATAAGATTTGACTGCTTTGACCACCCTGCTAATTACATAAAATTATCTCAATTTGGAGCTTTGTGATTTCTCTACATCACAGGGGTACAAATTATTTATAGCATAACATGGATTTTCTGTACATAGTCAAGAAAAAACTAGAAACCCTTACCATGCTCGTTCAAAGTGGCCCGCCTTCATATTGATTTTGAATGCAATCACAAAATATTTCAATTCTGGCATAGTTCTTGTTTGAGACTTTCTGAAAGATGAGAAGCAAAATGAATCAAGATTAAATACCACCAATAGGTTCTCACAAGTCTTAGGATATTTTTACTGGAGAAATCCAGCAATACTGTTCTTATTTTCATAAGTAACGACATATACCGTGGTAATTGTGAGTACTGATGAAGCCAGCAACCTTGTACGCCATCTTTGTTTCCCTGTATGGAATTAGTCATCCAATTGTTGGCAGAAGACATATTTGCTTAGGCATTTGAATATCACACAACAACATCACTTTGAACAGATGATAATATTAGCCTCGGGTTTACGTAAGAGCATATCTCTGTCTTAACTCATTCACCCGTGAAATTTTATAATGAACTCTTCCAAACTTTGGATTGGAAGAGTTCAAATGTGTCTTCAGGGGTGAATGAGTTAACCATGAAGTACCAAACAGAGGTGTGTCAATAACATCACATAGCAGAATCTAAACATTTAAGTGGTGAACAGTTTGCAGTAAATGCAAGTCGAAACTCTGACGTTAAATTCCATAGTTTTCATTGAAAACTACCACTTACTATATGACCAATATTTCTTTTAGATGTATTAAATAATTTACGGCAGAGCGTTTATCCCACATTTCATTTAAACAAGAGGCCCAGAGGGCCTGTATCGCTCACCTGAATGTGTTTAAAATAATTGGTATGAAGTAAAGATATAGCACTCAATGGTAGGTGCTGTAAGTACATATGAAATTTCAGAAAGATCCATCCAGTACTTGAGATATAGCGAGAACAAACTTCAAACAGAGCCCCAACCCTATGCCCCTAGGAGGGTCATACCCACTATTTATACAAAATTAAGTAAGTCCCCTTGGCCCAAGGATGCTCCAGACTAAATAAGGATAAAATCCCTTAATCCCGATGGTCGAGGAAGGATTTTAAAGGTTTTACCCCTTTTTCTCCTATTGGGCCCCGCCCTTCTGCCGCCGGGAGACCACACCCACTGCTTATACAAAATTGAGTCCCCTTGGCCCAAGGATGCTCCACAAAAAATATGGACCAAATCCTTTCATTCAGACAGAATAAGAAGGATTTTAAAGAATAATTTGCTATGTTTCCCCTATTGGGCCCGCCCCTAAGGCCCCTGGGGGGCCAGACCCACAGTTTATACAAAATTGGTTCCTCTTCACCCAAGGATGTTCAGACCAAATATGGAACAAATCCTTTCATTCCTACAGAAGAACAAGGACTTTAAAGAATTTGCTATATTTCCCCTACTTGGCCCCGCCCATCAGCCCCCAGGGGGGCCACACCTACCATTTATACAAAATTGGTTACCCTTTACCAAAGGATGACCCACACCAAATATGGACCAAACCTTTTCATTTCTTCAGAAGAAGAAGGATTTTAAAGAATAGTTTGCTATGTTTCCCCTATTGGGCCTCGCCCCTCAGGCCCCTGGGGGGCCAGACCTACAGTTTATACAAAATTGGTTCCTCTTCCTCAAGGTTGCTTCAGACCAAATATGGAACAAATCCTTTCATTCCTACAGAAGGAGAAAGATTTTAAAGAATTTGCTATATTTCCCCTATTAGGCCCACCGCTCAGTCCCAAGGGGGGCCACACCCACCATTTATACAAAATTTGTTCCCCTTCCCCCAACGATGCTTCTGACCATATCTGGTCCAAATCTACTGGGCCGCTAAGGACAAGTAGCGTTTTAAAGGAAAAGTTGACGGACGACGGACGCTGCGTCATGGCATAAGCTCACTTGCCCTTTGGGCAGGTGAGCTAAAAATGCTGATATTGATGCATTAAGATAACTGACAATAAAAATCAAGAAGGAAATTACCTCATTTGAAACCGCTTAAAATCTGCTGTTATAACTTCAAAGACGTCAGATAGCTCTTGCAACACCTGGAAACAAATAATGATGGCATTATATACCAAAGTCAGGTAGGGGAAACAATGACTGATAGCATTATATACCAAAGTCAGGTAGGAGAAACAAAGACTGATGGCATTATATACCAAAGTCAGGTAGGGGAAACAAGACTGATGACATTATATACCAAAGTCAAGAAGGGGAAACAATGACTGATGGCATTATAATTAGCCTCGGGTTTACGTAAGAGCATATCTCTGTCTTAACTCATTCACCCCACCCCTTCCTGACTTTGGTATACAATGCCATCAGTCTATGTTTCACCTACCTGACTTTGGCATATAATGCCATCAGTATTCGTGTGAAGTAGATGTGTATGTCTCAAGTCACTTCATTGATGTGCAGTAGATGTGTATGGCTCAAGTTACTACATTGGTGTGCAGTAGATGTGTATGGCTCAAGACATTATATTGATGTGCAGAAGATGTGTATGGCTCAAGTCACTACATTGGTGTGAAGTAGATGTGTATGTCTCAAGTCACTTCATTGATGTGCAGTAGATGTGTATGTCTCAAGTCACTTCATTGATGTGCAGTAGATGTGTTTGGCTCAAGGCACTATATTGGTGTGTAGTAGGTGTGTATGTCTCAAGTCACTATATTGATGTGCAGAAGATGTGTATGGCTCAAGGCACTATATTGGTGAGTAGTAGATGAGTATGGCTCCAGGCACTACATTGGTGTGAAGTAGATGTGTATGTCTCAAGTCACTATATTGATGTGCAGTAAATGTGTATGGCTCAAGACATTATATTGATGTGCAGAAGATGTGTATGGCTCAAGTTACTACATTGGTGTGCAGTAGATGTGTTTGGCTCAAGGCACTATATTGATGTGCAGTAGATGTGTTTGGCTCAAGGCACTATATTGGTGAGTAGTAGATGAGTATGGCTCCAGGCACTACATTGGTGTGAAGTAGATGTGTATGTCTCAAGTCACTATATTGGTGTGTAGTAGATGTGTATGTCTCAAGTCACTACATTGGTGTGTAGTAGGTGTGTATGTCTCAAGTCACTACATGTAATACATGGAGAGTGGTAGACATATAATACATGTTTACCACTTTCCATGTATTACATGTAGTGACTTGAGCCATACACATCTACTACACACCAATACCAAAGTCAGGTAGGAGAAACATAGACTGATGGCGTTATATACTAAAGTCAGGTAGGAGAAACATAGACTGATGGCATTATATACCAAAGTCAGGTAGGAGAAACATAGACTGATGGCATTATATACCAAAGTCAGGTAGGGGAAACAAAGACTGACCGCATTATATACCAAAGTCAGGTAGGAAAAACAAAGACTGATGGCATTATATACCAAAGTCAGGAAGGGGAAACAAAGACTGATGGCATTATATACCAAAGTCAGGTAGGATAAAACAAAGACTGATGGCATTATATACCAAAGTCAGGTAAACAATGACTGATGGCATTATATACCAAAGTCAGGTAGGAGAAACAATGACTGATGGCATTATATACCAAAGTCAGGTAGGGGAAACAAAGACTGATCGCATTATATACCAAAGTCAGGTAGGGGTAACAAAGACTGAAGGCATTATATACCAAAGTCAGGTAGGAGAAACAATGACTGATATCATTATATACCAAAGTCAGGTAAACAATGACTGATGGCATTATATACCAAAGTCAGGTAGGAGAAACAATGACTGATATCATTATATACCAAAGTCAGGTAAACAATGACTGATGGCATTATATACCAAAGTCAGGTAGGGGAAACAAAGACTGATGGCATTATATACCAAAGTCAGGTAAACAATGAATGATGGCATTATATACCAAAGTCAGGTAAACAATGAGTGATGGCATTATATACCAAAGTCAGGCAGGGGAAACAAAGACTGATGGCATTATATACCAAAGTCAGGTAAACAATGAATGATGGCATTATATACTAATATGCGAATGTAGGAGTGGGTGGGTGGATATTTCAAAGGATTTAGTTGTAGGTGAACATATTACAGTGGAGCAGAAATGTCCACTATACAATTCACTTGTTTGAAATCCAAGAAGGGAGATAAAAAATAGAAGGAAGTGATTAATGAAGAGATGTGTGTGAGTGTGTGTAAGGGGAAGCAAGGATGGACAGATGGACAAACAAAATCTGACAAGTGATTCTAGTGTTACACCACCAGCCCACCCCAGCACATCACTTTGTTGCAGGGGATATCAAGAAGATGTTGCAATTTACCTGAAACTAAAATACACTCTTCCAAGTTAAACTACATACCTCCTGAGGACCTTTGACTGCATCAATTGTTTCAAATATGTCCTGAATACTATCTTTCTCAAGGTCTTTTGTAGCCATGAAGACGTCTTAAACAAATAAAATGCAATGATAAACATAAACATCTATGTTAACCCGACCTACTTTCTATAAATTCTTTGTTAAGTAACCTTGGATCACTCAAAAAAGTGCCTTGAGCCATACACATCTACTGCACACCAATATAGTGCCTTGAGCCATACACATCTACTGCACACCAATATAGTGTCTTGAGCCAAACACATCTACTGCACACCAATATAGTGCCTTGAGCCAAACACATCTACTGCACATCAATGTAGTGACTTGAGACATACACATCTACTTCACACCAATGTAGTGCCTGGAGCCATACACATCTACTACACACCAATATAGTGCCTTGAGTCATACACATCTACTGCACACCAATATAGTGACTTGAGACATACACATCTACTGCACACCAATGTAGTAACTTGAGCCATACACATCTTCTGCACATCAATATAGTGCCTTGAGCCATACACATCTACTGCACATCAATGTAGTGACTTGAGCCATACACATTTACTGCACATCAATATAGTGACTTGAGACATACACATCTACTGCACACCAATATAGTGACTTGAGACATAAACATCTACTACACACCAATATAGTGACTTGAGACATACACATCTACTACACACCAATGTAGTGCCTGGAGACATATCCATCTACTGCACACCAATGTAGTGACTTGAGCCATACACATCTACTGCACATCAATATAGTGACTTGAGACATACACATCTACTACACACCAATATAGTGACTTGAGACATACACATCTACTACACACCAATATAGTGACTTGAGACATACACATCTACTGCACACCAATGTAGTGACTTGAGACATACACATCTACTGCACACCAATATAGTGACTTGAGACATACACATCTACTACACACCAATATAGTGACTTGAGACATACACATCTACTACACACCAATATAGTGACTTGAGACATACACATCTACTGCACACCAATGTAGTGACTTGAGACATACACATCTACTGCACACCAATGTAGTGACTTGAGACATACACATCTACTACACACCAATATAGTGACTTGAGACATACACATCTACTACACACCAATATAGTGACTTGAGACATACACATCTACTGCACACCAATGTAGTGACTTGAGACATACACATCTACTGCACACCAATATAGTGACTTGAGACATACACATCTACTACACACCAATATAGTGACTTGAGACATACACATCTACTACACACCAATGTAGTGACTTGAGTCATACACATCTACTGCACACCAATATAGTGACTTGAGACATACACATCTACTGCACACCAATGTAGTGACTTGAGACATACACATCTACTGCACACCAATATAGTGCCTAGAGCCATAGACTGCAGTCTGTTCTCATGGTGTTAATACAGGTGTCAGCCAGACATCAGATAAATAGAATTTACTAGAATAAATAGTTAACTGCCATATCATTAAGTACCTGAACCGATATCCTGTGAGGGTGTTAATCATTTTGTGCACATATTTATTATTTAACGATGATGTATAACATTGATATTTTAGGGGAAATGTTCATTCACTGGAAACCATATTTGGGCAAAGCTATAATAACTCATTATACCCTGAAATTTCATAATGAACTATTCCAACCTGTGAAGGAGTAAAGTGGAAATCATATAGTGGATTCTCAACCATCTTTAAAGATATTCAAACTGTATTATATTATGATTGTTAATTTCATTATCAATCATCATTATGATAACATAGACTTTACATTTTCTTCTTTTTAGAATGATCCTTTATCTTAAACATTCCATAAAATTAATGTAGCCCAATAGAGTATGGCAGATTGATATGCCTAAACGATATGTATGTTACATATAAAGTCTGTGCTATAGTCATATTCTTAAAACTGATGGTTATATGTTTTAAATGTTGAGAAGTTTTATATCTTATTAATTTTGTCATCTTTATCAAACTTCTTTTTCTTTCTTTCTATCTATCATCTACTAATTGCAAATTAGCAAAGCTGGAGCTGTATGCCATCTCACCTGATCGCAACATAATGACTCCACTCATTAACTCATTTACCCCTGAAATTTCATAATGAACTATTCCATCTTTGAATTGGAAGAGTTCAAATGTGGCTTCAGGGGTGATTGAGTTAAATTCTCAAACAATTGATCGGGACCCTTCGAGTTGGGAGTTTTACTGTAAATTGTTGTTTATCAATTTAATCAACTTTGAACTTAGCTTTAGTCTTCATGTATTACATGTTTACCACTTTCCTTGAATTACATGTTTACCACTTTCCTTGTATTACATGTTTACCACTTTCCATGTATTACATGTCTACCACTCTCCATCAAAGCTGAATGGTATCTAAGCATGATAAGATAAGTTGCGGAAACCAACCTGTTGACAAAGGGAGGGACACTCCCCAATTCAACTATATGCCTCTTCAACATTTTTTACAGGTGTTTATACACCTGAATGTCCAGAATTTTTTACATCAAAATCCACTGTTGTAACATTGTCTGAAATTTTGTCAGTGAAAGGTCTTACCTCTAACCAATTTTGATAAATGGCCGAAATCTTCTTTTATTTTCATTTGTTCCAAGAGCCTGTGCAGAGGAAAGTTTATAGGTTGCAATTTCTGAAATGAAAACAAACAAGAGGCCCAGGGGAATTAATAACTCACTGATTTTGTTTCCAATTTATAACCTGTTGAACACATATATTTATCATAAAATGCAATAGAAACTGTAGCAAGGACTTAATACTCAGGAGCAGGCAAGACACCAAAGACATAAGTGCATCTATTTCTTTATGCTCATTAATCTTGACTGTTTCCTTATTAGGGAAGTCCCCAGAGATTAGGCCAGACTTGGGACTAATCCTACTAGCAAGTTATCCGGTGAATGGTAGCATGAGTGCTTTCCTTTCTTCAAGTTGGAATCACATCTGCTTTCATGTTTTGACTAAGGGACTACGCTAAACCTCCGGTCAGTTCGAATCAGTGGATAGTTCGAACACATATTTTTTCCAATAAAAACAATAATTTTCTAGCTAGTGATAGTTCAAACTATGAGTGTTTATAATTGACCTTGTTTCAGATAGTCCAAACTTTTCAAATGAAGAACGTAAGGTAAGATTTTTTTTCGGCAAACTCCATTGAAAGCTCACGGCGATCGGCCCTGGAACAATGCCAATACTTTGATCAACAGACACGTTTAGGGTAATGGGTTGTATGTGTGAGCATTGCAGTACAGCCGTGACAGACAAACCATAAATATATGTCACAGATTTTAGCGTTGATTCATTTTTTTACATTGTTTGAAAAATGCATCGGGCACGGGACAGCCTATTGCAACTTAATGCCCCGTCAATGTATAAATAACATGCGATCAGTACGAACTGATGTCACGCTGTATGGCAAACTAAGAAATCGACCATGTATTGTCATTTGATTATTTATTGCCAATCAAGGTATTACCTGTAAACGTGTGCCCTCACACCAGGTAGGGCAGGCCACGTGGGATGTCGCGGTAGGGATCGGCCGCGGTTATTGTGAGTGACGTGATTAGCATTCATGTCCAGTCCAAACAATCCAATTAGCGATGGGTAATTTTGAAGGTGTCAAATAAGTTTGGTAGATATTAGGACTATTACTTATAATTCAAAAGCAGACATGTTGATGTTCTGACCTCATTTTACTAACATATATACCTATATTTACACTAGGGCTTTCGTAAACGCAACAGGTTATGTAGACTATATGTTTTCAATTTATTAAACGGACCATTCATTATGAAATAATATATACAAAAGTTTCTGATTCAAATCAAACATATAACCAAGCAGAGACTCAATATTTAGGTCTCTGATACAAGGTAGTCTAACTTTTGTGTCACAACAGTAACATGTACTGTTTTGGGGCCTACACAATGGCCTCTGCTTCGCCATAAAGATCATAATTATCAGGAAATGAAGAAAGTTTAATGATCAATGAATTAAATAATATACTATCATTTTACCCATTTATGAATGTGCCATTGTTCTATGCCAGGCTGTCGTTGTTATGTATCGACCTTACATTGGATATGTCGGGTATATGTTTGTGCCTTGATTGACACTGTCGAAATTTTTGACGATAGTTCAAACTCACGCTTATTTTCTGTAGCATCATTTCGTATCATTCGAACAGGTTCATCAATATTTATTTAATTTTTGTTTGAACTGACCGAAGGTTTACCGTAAGTCCCTAGGGGCAGTGCAGGACCAGGAGCCAATCTTGTTAGCATGGATGTAGGCATCACTTAATGTCCACTATACATGTACGAGGCTATATGGTGGGGATCTAAATCATTAACAAGGAGTACAGCTTTACCTCCAGTTCTATGGACTGCCCCATTTTCACTTATACAAAAAAAGGATAAGCTTGACCTAGTAATGTTTCAGACCAAATATGGTAACAATCCATGCAGTTTTCTTCTATATTGGGCAACATATGCCTTGCCCCTCTAGGGATCCAACAAACTTCATTAATACAAATTATGATCACCTTGCCCAAGTTATGTTTCAGACCAAATGTGGTAGCAATTTGTGTATTCCTTAAGGAGAAGTAGTCTTTTAAGAAATAAAATTCACAGATTTTCATTTAATGGGACCCCCCATAAGCCCCCCACCCTTCCTGCCCCAAGGAGGGATGAGTCGGACCCTTTTCTAGTCCCAAAAATACAACACAGTGAATTCGGTCGAAAACTGATCAGTGATTGGAAGGAGTTAAGTTCAAAGAAAAAAGTGACGGATGATGGACCCTGTGGCATGGGACGATGGACCCTGTGGCACGGGATGATGGACCCTGTGGCACGGGATGATGCACCCTGTGGCACGGGATGATGGACCCTGTGGCATGGGATGATGGACCCTGTGGCACGGGATGATGGACCCTGTGGCACGGGAGGACGGACCCTGTGGCACGGGACGATGGACCCTGTGGCACGGGATGATGGACCCTGTGGCACAGGATGATGGACCCTGTGGCACGGGATGTTGAACCCTGTGGCACAGGATGATGGACCCTGTGGCACGGGATGATGGACCCTGTCGCATGGGATGATGGACACTGTGGCATGGGAAGATGGACCCTGTGGCACGGGATGATGGACCCTGTGGCACGGGATGATGGACCCTGTGGCACAGGATGACGGACCCTGTGGCAAGGGATGATGGACACTGTGGCAAGGGATGATGGACACTGTGGCACGGGATGATGGACCCTGTGGCACGGGATGACGGACCCTGTGGCACGGGATGATGGACCCTGTGTGAAGGGATGATGGACACTGTGGCAAGGTATGATGGACACTGTGGCCCGGGATGATGGACCCTGTGGCACGGGATGATGAACCCTGTGGCACAGGATGACGGACCCTGCGGCAAGGGATGATGGACACTGTGGCACGGGATGATGGACCCTGTGTGAAGGGATGATGGACACTGTGGCAAGGGATGATGGACCCTGTGGCACAGGATGATGAACCCTTGCCAATAATTTTATTAGTACTTTGTAACAAGTGTATTGGTCAATTTCCTTGCCAATAATTTTATTAGTACTTTGTAACAAGTGTATTGGTCGATCTCCTTGACAATAATTTGATTAGTAAACCACTCTTCACACTTTTTGTCAATATACACATCCAGATAAAAATACTTCCATACTTACATGTGGAACAACTCTTTCATAGATTTCCAGGATGTTTTCTAAAGTTTCGTATTTTAAGAAAACAACTATAAATGAGCGGCTGCAAATAAAAAGAAAAACATTACCATCATAGAAACAAATTAATAAGAGGAATATAATTGGCTCTATTTCAACTTTTTGTAGAAGTACAATGTAATAGCATGTTTTTAAAGTAAAGTTTACAGAAACTCTCATCACCCATGTTTTCTTTGGTGTCTTAAGAACCATACTGACTAGTACACAGGTGCTGGACACACTTGTATGATGTGTATAAACTATATGATAGTATAATGTATGAACACATCATATTAGTGTGTCAAGCACCTGTCGACTAGCAGTTAATGAAAACCATTAACAGTTGATGAGACCTGGAGTTTACTGAACAGTATAACCTATCACTGTGAGCACAGCTATTAAGGAGGAGTTATCACCTCTGCCTTTGACCTTGACCTTGAGTGTCAGGACATATTTTTGATAAAAGCTTTCATCTCATTATCCCTCACACTTGACTTCATGATCCATATAAATATGACAGAATTATCCATTGGAAATATATTTTACATGTATAGATTGTAACAAAGATACTTTGATATGGCAATTGAATTTTTATCCGACATTTGACCTTTTAAACTAAAAACCCTCAGGTTTCTCCAGGAACAAATTGGTCATCCTGCGCTGTTTGAAGGTCCTACATGGACTCCCACACTGGTATAGACTCCCAACCTAGTAAACTAGTTTGTTGTCAGTCAAAAACACCCTGCTTAAAGGCAAGATAGGAATCACAACAACTTACAAAGACCTTGACCTTTGGACCCAGATTCACTTCTCACCCATGGGAACCATCCCCTGAAGTTTTAAGAACCTTCGAGGAAATCAGGTTTTGAAAAGAAAAAGTCACACAGGATCATTCATTGTACCTCACAGTTTCACCTTTTGACCAAAAATTAAAGTTTTATTCTTCACCGAGACAATTAACATCTTTGGTTTGTTATTGCTTGAAGTCCTATTAACAGCTATAGTCATTTAAGGAAGAGCCAGGTTTGGTTGAAGAGGAAAAGCTTAGTACCCCCTAAAAACAAAACTCAGCCAGTACCTGACGACTGCCCCTAGGAAGGCCTTAAACCTGTGACCACTTCATGCCTTAACCACTCAGCCACCACGACCCATTCATGATCATAGAAAGTCAGACGTCTCACCCAGTAATGGAGGGCTGGTGATCATAGACAGTCAGACCCCTTAACCACTCAGCCACCATAACCCAGTAATGGCGGGATGGTGATCATAGACAGTCAGACCCCTTAACCACTCAGCCACCAGGACCCAGTAGTGGAGGTTAGTGATCATAGACAGTCAGATGCCTTAACCACTCTGCCACCACGACCTTGTAGTGGATGGCTAGTGATCATAGACAGTCAGACGCCTTAACCATTCAGCCACCACGACCCAGTAGTGGAGGGCTAGTGATCATAGACAGTCAGACGCCTTAACCACTCAGCCACCACGACCCATTTATGAAGGGCTAGTGATCATAGACAGTCAGACACCTTAACCAGTCACCCACCCTGACACAGTAGTGGAGGGCTAGTTATAATAGACAGTCAGACGCCTTAACCACTCACCAACCCTGACACAGTAGTGGAGGGCTAGTGAGCATAGACAGTCAGACCCATTAACCCCTCAGCCACCCTGTCACAGTAGTGGAGGGCTAGTGATCATAGACAGTCAAACCCATTAACCACTCAGCCACCCTGTCACAGTAGTTGAGGGCTAGTGAGCATAGACAGTCAGACCTATTAACCACTCAGCCACCCTGTCACAGTAGTGGAGGGCTAGTGATCATAGACAGTCAGACACCTTAACAACTCACAGACAGTCAAGATACCTTAACAACTCACAGACAGTCGGGCGCCTTAACCATTCACCATTCACAACCCAGTGGTGCAGGGCTAGTGATCATAGACGGTTAGATGCCTTAACTACTCAGCCACTGTGGCACCACAATCAATATAATTTTCAACTAGGAACCTGTGAAAGTGTGAAATGGCAAAAGCCCTTCCCTTGGTACACATGGTTGAAGTGTCCCTGTATATGGTATAAGTCCTTCCTTTGATACACATGGTTGAAGTGTCCCTGTGTATGGTATAAGCCCTTCCATTGATACACATGGTTGAAGTGCCCCTGTGTATGGTATAAGCCCTTCCCTGGATACACATGGGTGAAGTGCCCCTGTGTATGGTATAAGCCCTTCCATTGATACACATGGTTGAAGTGCCCCTGTGTATGGTATAGGCCCTTCCCTTGATACACATGGTTGAAGTATCCCTGTGTATGGTATAAGGCCTTCCCTTGATACACATGGTTGAAGTATCCCTGTGTATGGTATAAGCCCTTCCCTTGATACACATGGTTGAAGTGCCCCTGTGTTTGCTTGTTTACTTACTAGTATCTTCTAGATTCATCAACAGTCTCGAAGTAATAGCTCTCTCCTAACGCACGGAATAGTGTGTCCACCCTCAACGCGTACTCAGGACTACGGAATTCAGAATCGCTCTAAAAGAAAACAGCATCACATTTCCCAGTAAGTGATAACAGAGAATAGCACCTGCAGCTAAAGCCTGTTAAGTTGAGGAAGGTTTACATATATGTGTAAGCATTGTGTATCCATCATCGGAGTCAGTTTATGAAAATAACTGATGGCATATACCTATAATTGTTTTTCCTATCATGTTACTTTTGACATTTTCTGATTAATTTTAGTCATTTACTTATGAAAATATTCATTTGAACACGGTACTTTTTTATGTATAGCGATGTAATAGGAAATTCTTGTTGTGACCATTATACCATTTCCCAGGAATTATTGTTTTATGAACAAGTTAATGACCTTCCCTACACCTATCACTCACTCAGACCCTCTGTCTGTCTGTCTGTCTCATTAAGCTTTGGTTAGGTTCGGTGCGTTGGTGTTTTACGTCCTATTAACAGCTATGGTCATTTAAGGATGTGCCAGGATTCGTTGGGGGAGGAAATCCGGCATTCTGGGAAAATACCCACCAACCTACTGCAAGTATACCTGGCTCATAAAGCATTCTGCCCTTAAAAAGGGATATGCTATTTTACTCTTCACATTCTGTTACTAAAGATCTAACTAAAACAGTATTTTGAGTAATATTTTCTTGAAACCATCAATGATATCCAACCTTTTCAGTTGTATCCCGTGCATTATCACATTATAGGGAACCAGACTGATGGTAGAATAACACTCACTCAAGCTAGTGATTATATGTCTCACGCTTGTTTCCTGTTAATTGTCAAAAAAATAGGGAAGGTAAGTAAGAGATTTTAATTTTCTATAAGGTTAATATACTAGGAGTGATCTTGACTTTAAAAGTGCTTCCTTAAAAATTGTCAAAAAAAGTGAAGGGTAGGTACAAAACAACAATTCCACGCGAGTAGATGTGTAGCTTGGTCAGCACTTTTAGTAAGAAAAGTGTTTTGGCTCGAGTTATCGTGTAAACACATATGCCAAAATGCGGAAAGTTGAAACTCGACAGAAAACCTGTAATATATATTGAACATTATTGCTTCTAGCATTACCGTACAAAATTTAAAAGGAATTGATTAAAAAATAAAACAGTTCTTGCATTTACTACACAATGCCCTTATTTGGCAATAAAAGTGGCATAACTTCACCAAAAATACACGTAAACTTATGAAATGCGAACTTGTCCGAGCTATATTGATACCGTATGCAATATGTGTACTAAGTTTGAGTTCAATAAACCCAAGGAAACTCAAGTTATCGCACGGAAACCTTGTTTCGGACGACGCAACCGGCAACGCCAACAAAGTAATAACTATATGTCGCTATCGGTGACACAAAAATTAGGAAAGATAGGGTAATGGCCTAATTCCAATAGTTTTTATTGTGTACTCTGGGATGTGATAAGGTAAGGGAAAAAACAGTGTGAACTAGAACTGTAAGCTAAAGGCTAACAAATACCCCCGCTGCTATATAAACCAGAACTGTAAGTTAAAGGCTTACTAAGGCAAAGCATTGCAAAGCAATCCATAGTCTCCCACAAGTATCAAGTATTTCACACAAAGGGGCATTACTCCATCAAAAAGGGTCGAAATCCCAAATTAAAATGCCGGTGAACCAACTATATAAGATACTGATCATTCATGCAAAAATTCAATGAAATCAACCTGTTCGTTAAGGAGGAGTTGCGCGGACAAGTGTTTCACAAAAAGGGGCATAACTCTATCAAAAAGGGTTGAAATCCCAAATTAAAATGCCGGTGCACAACTACATAAGATACTGATCATTCATGCAAAGTTTCAATGAAATCCACTTGTCAATTAAGGAGGAGTTGCGCGGATATGTATTTCGCAAAAAGGGGGATAATTAAAGTGAAAATGGATGAAAGCACCCTTTCCCTTTAGAAACTGTTTTTAGTGTTTCAGAATGAATCAAGAGCTTTTTAAATTATGGGAAAAACTGGAAATAAGAAAACGTTATCTGAAAAGAGGAATAATTCCATCCCTGATACTTCATTAATAATTATTCAGCAGGAAAGGAATAAAGGTATCTATACTTACTAATAGCATAGCGTCAACGAAGAATCCCACTGAAAACACAACAAAATTCAGATGAACAAGTGCTGTTTGATTGTATTCTGATCTCTTCATCAAGTCATTAACATACAGGACATGGTAGCAGACTGATGAATATAGCTCAAGTTACGTCTAATAATGTCCTAGGCTAACATCTCAGACAAGGGTATGTCCTAGGCTAACATCTCAGACAAGGGTATGTCCTAGGCTAACATCTCAGACAAGGGTATGTCCTAGGCTAACATCTCAGACAAGGGTATGTCCTAGGCTAACATCTCAGACAAGGGTATGTCCTAGGCTAACATCTCAGACAAGGGTATGTCCTAGGCTAACATCTCAGACAAGGGTATGTCCTAGGCTAACATCTCAGACAAGGGTATGTCCTAGGCTAACATCTCAGACCAGGGTATGTCCTAGGCTAACATCTTGGACAAGGGTATGTCCTAGGCTAACATCTCGACCAGACAAGGGTATGTCCTAGGCTAACATCACAGACCAGGGTATGTCTTAGGCTAACATCTCAGACAAGGGTATGTCCTAGGCTAACATCTCGGACAAGACTAGGGTATGTCCTAGGCTAACATCTCAGACAAGGGTATGTCCTAGGCTAACATCTCAGACAAGGGTATGTCCTAGGCTAACATCTCAGACAAGGGTATGTCCTAGGCTAACATCTCAGACAAGGGTATGTCCTAGGCTAACATCTCAGACAAGGGTATGTCCTAGGCTAACATCTCAGACAAGGGTATGTCCTAGGCTAACATCTCAGACAAGGGTATGTCCTAGGCTAACATCTCAGACAAGGGTATGTCCTAGGCTAACATCTCAGACAAGGGTATGTCCTAGGCTAACATCTCAGACAAGGGTATGTCCTAGGCTAACATCTCAGACAAGGGTATGTCCTAGGCTAACATCTCAGACAAGGGTATGTCCTAGGCTAACATCTCAGACAAGGGTATGTCCTAGGCTAACATCTCAGACAAGGGTATGTCCTAGGCTAACATCTCAGACAAGGGTATGTCCTAGGCTAACATCTCAGACAAGGGTATGTCCTAGGATAACATCTCAGACAAGGATATGTCCTAGGCTAACATCTCAGAAAAGGGTATGTCCTAGGCAAACATCACAGACAAGGGTATGTCCTAGGCTAACATCTCAGACAAGGGTATGTCCTAGGCTAACATCTCAGACAAGGGTATGTCCTAGGATAACATCTCAGACAAGGGTATGTCCTAGGATAACATCTCAGACAAGGGTATGTCCTCGGCAAACATCTCAGACAAGGGTATGTCCTAGGCTAACATCTCAGACAAGGGTATGTCCTAGGCTAACATCTCAGACAAGGGTATGTCCTAGGCTAACATCTCAGACAAGGGTATGTCCTAGGCTAACATCTCAGACAAGGGTATGTCCTAGGCTAACATCTCAGACAAGGGTATGTCCTAGGCTAACATCTCAGACAAGGGTATGTCCTAGGCTAACATCTCAGACAAGGGTATGTCCTAGGCTAACATCTCAGACAAGGGTATGTCCTAGGCTAACATCTCAGACAAGGGTATGTCCTAGGCTAACATCTCAGACAAGAGTATGTCTAACATCTAAGACAAGGGTATGTCCTAGGCTAACATCTCAGACAAGTGTATGTCCTCGGCAAACATCTCAGACAAGGGTATGTCCTAGGCTTACATCTTCGACAAGGGTTTGTCCAAGGCTAACATGGTTTTGACCAACGTTATCCATCAAGGCAAATTTAACGGTAAAGGATGATAAAAATCTATGAGGAAATATGGCTACTCAAGAGATGACAAGGAGTAAAATAACATTAACTTGAATTTTGATCAATCACGCCCCTATTTGAATTTGGCAAACACATCAGTAATATTTTTATGAAAACTGTCCAGAAAAAACAGCCACTTGAGTGATGATAAGAACAGCATCAGAAAGAGGAAACTCATAATTATCACTCACATCTTGTATCGAGGGTAGGGTTGCTATAATGTATATTACAAAGTGTTATAATCCCCATCTTCATGTATCGAGGGTAGGGATGGTATGATATATATTACAAAGTGTAATAATCCCCATCTTCATGTATCCAGGGTAGGGATGGTATAATATATATTACAAAGTGTAATAATCCCCATCTTCACGTATCGAGGGTAGGGATGGTATAATATATATTACAAAGTGTAATATTCCCCCACTTCAAGTATCGAGTGTAGGGATGGGATAATATATATTACAAAGGGTAATAATACCCCACATCATGTATCGAGGGAAGGGATGGTATAATATACATTACAAAGTGTAATAATCCCCCACTTCAAGTATCGAGTGTAGGGATGGTATAATATATATTACAAAGTGTAATAATCCTCCACTTCAAGTATCGAGTGTAGGGATGGTATAATATATATTACAAAGGGTAATAATCCCCCACATCATGTATCGAGGGAAGGGATGGTATAATATATATTACAAAGTGTAATAATCCCCCACTTCAGGTATCAGGGGTAGGGATGGTATAATAAATATGTTGTGTCCATTTACCATCAATGTCCAGTCCTCATGACCTGATCAGTTAAATTAGCCATCAACGGAAAAATCTTTATGTCATTTTTGAAAAATATTGGAAATTTACATAATTATATATTTTTAATTTTGATGTCTATAGGTTATTTCTGTGAGTCTCTATAAATACAATTTTAACATTGAATTTCATTCTTCTTCTTCTTTGTTAAATGATAGAAGTTGAGGTAATCAGGATTCAAATAATTTGGCCCATGTAACATATTTCATATAAAGTTACAACTCCTTTTGGTAAGGAATGTCAAGAAAATGTCAAATAACTTACAATCAGACATTTTTATTGACCAGGTTTTTATCTACTTTTCCAGGCGGTTTGAAGCAAAACTTATAATTAACTTGGACTGATGACTTACTTTCATTTTCAGAGGTAGCCTTGATATTTTCCTTCTCTACAAAGTTCAGGATCTGCTCAAAATCTGTTCAACAAGTAAAAGAAAATGACTGACCTTGGTAAGATAATAGCACAAAGGTACCAAATATATAATTGGGTAGAGAATCAGTGTAACAAGGACTAATTGGGTAGAGAATCAGTGTAACAAGAACTAATTGGGTAGAGAATCAACGTAACAAGGACTTATTGGGTAGAGAATCAGCGTAACAAGGACTAATTGGGTAGAGAATCAGCGTAACAAGGACTAATTGGGTAGAGAATCAGTGTAACAAGGACTAATTGGGTAGAGAATCAGTGTAACAAGGACTAATTGGGTAGAGAATCAGCGTAACAAGGACTAATTGGGTAGAGAATCAGCGTAACAAGGACTAATTGGGTAGAGAATCAGTGTAACAAGGACTAATTGGGTAGAGAATCAGCGTAACAAGGACTAATTGGGTAGAGAATCAGCGTAACAAGGACTAATTGGGTAGAGAATCAGTGTAACAAGGACTAATTGGGTAGAGAATCAGCGTAACAAGGACTAATTGGGTAGAGAATCAGCGTAACAAGGACTAATTGGGTAGAGAATCAGTGTAACAAGGACTAATTGGGTAGAGAATCAGCGTAACAAGGACTAATTGGGTAGAGAATCAGCGTAACAAGGACTAATTGGGTAGAGAATCAGTGTAACAAGGACTAATTGGGTAGAGAATCAGCGTAACAAGGACTAATTGGGTAGAGAATCAGCGTAACAAGGACTAATTGGGTAGAGAATCAGTGTAACAAGGACTAATTGGGTAGAGAATCAGCGTAACAAGGACTAATTGGGTAGAGAATCAGCGTAACAAGGACTAATTGGGTAGAGAATCAGTGTAACAAGGACTAATTGGGTAGAGAATCAGCGTAACAAGGACTAATTGGGTAGAGAATCAGCGTAACAAGGACTAATTGGGTAGAGAATCAGTGTAACAAGGACTAATTGGGTAGAGAATCAGCGTAACAAGGACAATAAACTGGTTTAGTAAGACAGCTGACAAATAATTGGCTTGTAAAATCTTATTTTTTAGTTAAGATAATCCAAATGATTTAGTCATATCAATTTTTCTTGTTGTATATTTGTTTCTAACATTGTACATGGTTATTACCTGATTTTTCATGGCTGAATTTCAAAAAGACTTGACACATGGACAGGGAAGGTTCTGGTGACAAAAATAACAAACATGGTAAATTAATTATAAACTGTACCATTTTATAAATAAAAACATTCTAATTCCTGTTCTCGAGTTATATACATGTACAGTATGTAACTGGAGAAAGAGAAATGCAACGGCCAGACTGGGGCTCGAACCTGTGACCCTCCCAACTCTAGACAGATGCTAGAATCGATTGAGCCACCTGGTCGCTGACCAGTCCAGTTCTGCTACAAGTATAAACAAAAACATTCTACTTCCTGTTCAGGAGTTATATATACATTCATTTCCTACTCATTTTGGCAATATTTTGCGTGAACTTAGAATGGTAGAAGATGTGTCAGCCAATCAGAGGCCATGGTGGCCATATTGAATTCCAAAACATGCTGAAAAATGGCAACACTTGTTCTGGGCTATGAGACCAACATTTTTACCATGTTTGATCCAAATCAGAACCATAGAAATGGAGAATTCCTTTCAAGTTGATGGATGGATGGATGGATGGACAATAGACCCTGCATCACAGCATTATATCACATGGTCCTTCCGACTAGGTAGGCAATTAATTTGTTTCTTTACATGTAAGTTTTTTGTAACATTGGACAGTCAGAAGCCAGCATTGCTATAAATTGTTAATTCAATGAGAACGTCACAAACTATGTATATGCCTGTTTAATTCACAAACTATGTATATGCCTGTTTAATTCACAAACTATGTATATGCCTGTTTAATTCACAAACTATGTATATGCCTGTTTAATTCACAAACTATGTATATGCCTGTTTAATTCACAAACTATGTATATGCCTGTTTAATTCACAAACTATGTATATGCCTGTTTAATTCACAAACTATGTATATGCCTGTTTAATTCACAAACTATGTATATGCCTGTTTAATTCACAAACTATGTATATGCCTGTTTAATTCACAAACTATGTATATGCCTGTTTAATTCACAAACTATGTATATGCCTGTTTAATTCACAAACTATGTATATGCCTGTTTAATTCACAAACTATGTATATGCCTGTTTAATTCACAAACTATGTATATGCCTGTTTAATTCACAAACTATGTATATGCCTGTTTAATTCACAAACTATGTATATGCCTGTTTAATTCACAAACTATGTATATGCCTGTTTAATTCACAAACTATGTATATGCCTGTTTAATTCACAAACTATGTATATGCCTGTTTAATTCACAAACTATGTATATGCCTGTTTAATTCACAAACTATGTATATGCCTGTTTAATTCACAAACTATGTATATGCCTGTTTAATTCACAAACTATGTATATGCCTGTTTAATTCACAAACTATGTATATGCCTGTTTAATTCACAAACTATGTATATGCCTGTTTAATTCACAAACTATGTATATGCCTGTTTAATTCACAAACTATGTATATGCCTGTTTAATTCACAAACTATGTATATGCCTGTTTAATTCACAAACTATGTATATGCCTGTTTAATTCACAAACTATGTATATGCCTGTTTAATTCACAAACTATGTATATGCCTGTTTAATTCACAAACTATGTATATGCCTGTTTAATTCACAAACTATGTATATGCCTGTTTAATTCACAAACTATGTATATGCCTGTTTAATTCACAAACTATGTATATGCCTGTTTAATTCACAAACTATGTATATGCCTGTTTAATTCACAAACTATGTATATGCCTGTTTAATTCACAAACTATGTATATGCCTGTTTAATTCACAAACTATGTATATGCCTGTTTAATTCACAAACTATGTATATGCCTGTTTAATTCACAAACTATGTATATGCCTGTTTAATTCACAAACTATGTATATGCCTGTTTAATTCACAAACTATGTATATGCCTGTTTAATTCACAAACTATGTATATGCCTGTTTAATTCACAAACTATGTATATGCCTGTTTAATTCACAAACTATGTATATGCCTGTTTAATTCACAAACTATGTATATGCCTGTTTAATTCACAAACTATGTATATGCCTGTTTAATTCACAAACTATGTATATGCCTGTTTAATTCACAAATACTTGAATTTGCAATAGGAAACTATTTGAATAAATAATATTCACAGTATTTATCTATGTATTGTGGAATTAATATATGATTTTATTTGATTTATATATCATGAATAAGTGTTTTGTGAATTAAAGCAAAAATAATTTGATTTACAGTTAACGTTCTCAAAATGACATCATAATAATAAAGACATTAGACTCATATTTTCTAAAATACAAACTGGTACTGTAATTATCCATATAAAGGAAATGCTTCAATAAAACAAATTTTCAACTGATTATTTTTACACTATCTTTTCAAAATAGTAAACGAAATAAATGTGACATTACTCATTCCTAGGGCCTTCATTTCATTGAAGATCTCCGTGAAGAAGGAAATGTCTGGACAATATGAGCCTGGTCCAGACACCAATCTCCTAAACGTCTCTTCTGTTGGAGCAATTCCCGCTGTCTTCATGTCTTTGAGGAGGTTCTATAAAATAACATACACGGCTTTCATATTCTAACAAGTGCCTACAAATTAGTCTTTCAACATAAACATCACATAGCTATCTGATTTGGAACACAGCAGGCCTGTACTGCTTACCTGGATATTTATGCAATCATGGCAAAATAATTTTTAACTTTTTGGCTCTGCCTCTTAGCATCCTTTAATATACAACATTTGATTGCCTGGTTCCAAGGAAGCCTTTTACCATACTTCCACAGAGAATATCTCTCTAGGCCCATCAAAGGCATACTGTATACAGATTTGAATTTGCCCAGTGTTATTTTGTGTTTTAATTCATCAGAAAATTAATGTTTTCACAATTAAGAATTCATATCTCCATAAGACTTTATTATGATTTTAAAATAGTCATATGGCTATCATATAATAGTCCTATAGTTATCATTTTCCTTAAAACCTTCACCGAAATAGCCACATGACATCCTTTTCTTCAAATATTATTGGTATGAAGTAGGTGCTGTAAGTACATATGAAATTTCAGAAAGATCCATCCAGTACTGCCTCACCCCTATCTGCAACTTAGGGGGGGGGGGGGGGGGGTCATACCCACCAATTATACAAAATTGCGACCCAAGGATGCTCCAGACCAAATATGGAACAAATCCTTTCATTCCTACAGAAGAAGAAGGATTTTAAAGAAAATGTTATATTTCCCCTGTTTGGCCATGCCCCTCAGCCCCCAGTGGGGCCAGACCTACCGTTTATACAAAATTGGTTCCCCTTCACCCAAGAATGCTTCAGACCAAATATGGAACAAATCCTTTCATTCCTACAGAAGAAGAAGGATTTTAAAGAATAATTTGCTATATTTCTCCTATTGGGCCCCACTTCTCAGGCCCCTGGATGGCCAGACCCACAGTTTATACAAAATTGGTTCCCGTTAACCCAAGGATTCTTCAGACCAAATATGGAACAAATCCTTTCATTCCTACAGAAGAAGAAGGATTTTAAAGAATTTGCTATATTTCCCCTATTTGGCCCTGCCCCTCAGCTCCCAGCAGAGCCAGACCCACAGTTTATACAAAATTGGTTCCCCTTCACCCAAGTATGCTTCAGACCAAATATGGACCAAATCCTTTCATTCCTACAGAAGAAGAAGGATTTTAAAGAATTTGCTATGTTTCCCCTATTTGGCCCTGCTTCTCAGCTCCCAGCGGGGCCAGACCCACGTTTTATACAAAATTGGTTCCCCTTCACCCAAGAATGCTTCAGACCAAATATGGAACAAATCCTTTCATTCCTACAGAAGAAGAAGGATTTCAAAGAATTGCTTTAATTCCCCAATTGCGCCCTGCCCCTCACCCCCAGGGGGGCCAGACCCATCATTTATACAAAATGTTCCCCTTCCCCCAAGGATGCTTCTGACCAAATATGGACCAAATCCTTTCATTCCTACAGAAGAAGAAGGATTTTAAAAAATTTGCTATTTTTCCCCTATTGGGCCCTGCCCCTCAGCCCCCAGGGGGGCCAGACCCATCATTTATACAAAATTGAGTCCCCTTGACCCAAGGATGCTCCAGACTAAATTAAGTCCAAATCTACTGGGCCGTTCAGGACAAGTAACGTTTTATAGGAAAAGTTGACGGACGGATGGACGGACGACGACGCTGTGCCATGGCATAAGCTCACTTGCCCTTCAGGCAGGTGAGCTAAATATCCATACGGTTTTATTCATACGGTTTTTATTTTTTTCCCCAAAAAAGCCGCATTGAGTTCACGTTCCTGGGTTTGGTTTGGTTTTATTTTGTTTAACGTCCTATTAACATCTCAGGTAATTTAAGGACGTGCCTCCATGTGTTTTGTTTAAGCGTGCATGTGTGTATGTGTGCTGAAAACAGGGTATGTTGACGTACATGCCTCCTTGTAATAGCGTAGATCTGATGCCAATTTTATAGTGCTATCTCACTGAAACACCATGCCGAAGGCACCCAGCACAGCATTCTGCCCAGTCACATTATACCGACAACAGGTGAACCAGTATTTGCCATTACCCTCAATGCTGAACTTTGAGCAGGGAATAACAAGTACCATTTTTAAGGACTTTGGTATGTCCCGGCCTGGGGACAGAACCCATTGCCTTCCTCACCTGGGTGAATGCTCAACATTAAAGCCAGAGGTGAGGTATTACCAAGCATGGCGCTAGGAAATAAAAGGTAGAATTAGAAAGAAATATGAAGATCCCAAATGTCACAATGGGTGCAGCAAATTTATATTGGTCGCTTTTGTTTCCCCAAATAAAGGACACCAAAGCAAATCCCCAGTTCTGCAGGGGTTTCCGCATTAGTCGCCTCTTACAATACATGAAGTAGGTAACAGCAGGTGTATTCTTTTCTTGAACCCCGACCTGCAGGGGTTACGTTTCTGAGAACTGCCTACAAAATAGCCATATTGCTATCATATCTCTGACAAAAAACAACTTTTAAATGAAGGATACAACTTACCCGTGCAGTGCTAGCAGGTAAGGGCATCTTGTTTGACCATGGTGGGTTGGGTGACAGGAGTGCGTGGATAATGTCTCTGTCATCTAAACAAGAAGCTACTAGTAAGGGGAGTACAGATACATTACAACAATAGTTTAATCATTGTTCACTATCTATGTGATATGATGTCCTGACTAAGAGCTAACAAAACATACACTGATTTATAACACTATAGTTTTAAATAGTCATTTTTCATACAGGTATCTATGTGATCAGAAGTCCTAACTAGACAAGAACATGTTTAAAACGTGAATGCCAAGTATTTGTTTTCACACTTACATTGAAATCCTTTGCTTTTCATCTCTTCATAGTAATCCAGTGCTGTTGTCATATGTTCAAACTAAACAAAGGAAATGGAGGACACCAGTAATAACACACGACATTGGTTACTTGTGAGCTCTGTGTTCCGCCAATAAATTTGTATCATTTCTATTTGAAAATTCTAGCCGGACATTTTTGGGTGCCTAACTTAAGGCTGGGCTTACAAGATCTTATTCCTTGAGTTGAACATTTTAGTACCATTCTTCATCAGAGTGGGACTATATTAACTCATTGACCCCTGGAGACACATTTTAACTCCTCCAATTCAAAGGTTGGAATAACTAATTATGAAATTTCAAGGGTGAATGATTTAGGATTCTATTTAGTACATTCTGACTTTAAGTTGAGCAGTTATTTGACGATCACATCAGTAATGCATAGGGAGGAATATCAGCTTGGAATCCCTGCCACATTATACACCAATTCATTAATATTTACTCTGTTGTGATGTCAACAAATAAAAGTCCCAATGGATCTGTATCACTCACATGTTTAATGATATTCACAAACAAATCTATACCTATGACATTTATAAAATTTATCTAAACAAGCAAGCAAACTTATACTCAGGTTAAAAACAACTTCTCTACAAACTTATACTACAGGTTAAAAACAACTTCTCTACAAACTTATACTACAAGTAAAAAACAACTTCCTACAAACTTATACTACAAGTTAAAAATAACTTCTCTACAAACTTATACTACAGGTTATAAACAACTTCTCTACAAACTTATGCTACAGGTTAAAAACAACTTCTCTACAAACTTATACTACAGGTTAAAAACAACTTCTCTACACACTTATGCTACAGGTTAAAAACAACTTCTCTACACACTTATGCTACAGGTTAAAAATAACTTTTCTACAAACTCATACCACAGGTTAAAAATAACTTCTCTACAAACTTATACTACAGGTTAAAAATAACTTCTCTACAAACTTATACTACAAGTTAAAAATAACTTCTCTACAAACTTATACTTCAGGTTAAAAATAACTTCTCTACAAACTTATACTACAGGTTAAAAATAACTTCTCTTCAACTGTAAGTCTTTATTGGAGGGTTCAACCCTATCTCTGGGCGGTTAGGTGACGGACTAGATAACACACCTGCCTTACACCAAGGCGACAAGGTTTTGATTTGCCAATCGGACCAGAAAAGGTATGGGGTCACCTGCCTGCCACATGGAATTTTTCTGTGTACTCCAGTTTCCTCCCACATTAAGAAACCCTTTGCGGTTAGATATGGGTCATTACAGAAGTGATTAATACAAGTTGAAATATTTAATATAACTTGTTTCATAATCGTTGTAAAATAAGTTTTCATATTACCCTATTTCACTCATGGGACTTTCGCAGTTGATTAACGTCATTTATTCCAACAAAACAAAATGGGCTTCATCAGCAAGCTACAGCTACACATTGGTTTTCTTGGCCCCAAGGACCTTTAGAAAAAGTTGTTTCAAATTTTCCACGCACCTGACACCCGTAACCAAGAAAGTAGGTCAAGGTCATTTATATGGACAAACTTGATAGTTTTTCTTTCACACATCTGCCCTTGTTAGGTACCTTGACAGTGGTTTCAGGTAATCATTTTTTTTAAATAGTTCATAGCTCTATATTTCAATAAGCTTTAAAGAAAATTTTGTAACTCCCAGTTTTCCCTGGACGATTTTAATAAATTTGATTACTGTGAGCTTGAAACCAGGTCATAGTCATTCATTCTGATCACTTACTGGCCAAATATTGCTACTATAGGCCCTTTCAAAGTTCAAGGAAAATAATGAAAATTTTAACAAATGATACTTCTGTGATCTTTAATATAAGTTAAGTCCATTCCTTTTGTTTGAAAAGTTTTATACACATATTTGATCCTGTGATTTTCAATAAAGGTCAAGGCCACTTGTGTTTGCTTATTTTGTAGCACTCCATGCCAGCAAGCTAAAGCTACTGGCTAAATATAACAACTTTATTCTTCTCATCTTCAGAAGTGTTTTAAATATTTTTCACATGTTTGGATCCTGTGACATTGAAAATACCTCAAGGCAATTGTTGTCGCAAACTCTTTGAGGCTTCATCCCAGAAAGCTAGTTTAATATCATCACCCTATGCCCAATGGTTCTAAGAATAGTTCTAGAAGCAGGAGGACCCTATTTTACATCTACGTGATGGAGTAAAATCCATAAAGAAAAAACAACAAGAGGCCCATGGGCCTTAACGGTCACCTGACATCCTATTCAAATTAGGACTGTCATCCAGGGACCAATTCATACTTTTCGTCGGTCCGAGTGACCTTGCTGCATCGTCCATTAATTTTTCCTTGTGAACACAATAACTTCAGTAAATATGAACCGATTTTGATGAAACTTTGTATGCATTTTCGAACTCGTCTGAGATCTTATTGATATATGGCTGCATACAAAGTTTCATCAAACTTGGTTAACATTTACTCAAGTTCTCGTGTTCACAAGGTCCAACAATAATATTATTACAAAGGGCAATAACTCTGTAAGTTACTGTCAAATAATTCCCATTTCGAACTCATCTCGAGATCTTATTGATATATGGCTGCATACAAAGTATCATCAAACTTGGTTAACATCTACTCAAGTTATCGTGTTCACAAGGTCCAATAATAATATTATTACAAAGGGCAATAACTCTGTAAGTTACTGTCAAATAATTCCCATTTCGAACTCATCTCGAGATCTTATTGATATATGGCTGCATACAAAGTATCATCAAACTTGGTTAACATCTACTCAAGTTATCGTGTTCACAAGGTCCAATAATAATATTATTACAAAGGGCAATAACTCTGTAAGTTACTGTCAAATAATTCCCATTTCGAACTCATCTCGAGATCTTATTGATATATGGCTGCATACAAAGTATCATCAAACTTGGTTAACATCTACTCAAGTTATCGTGTTCACAAGGTCCAATAATAATATTATTACAAAGGGCAATAACTCTGTAAGTTACTGTCAAATAATTCCCATTTCGAACTCATCTCGAGATCTTATTGATATATGGCTGCATACAAAGTATCATCAAACTTGGTTAACATCTACTCAAGTTATCGTGTTCACAAGGTCCAATAATAATAATATTACAAAGGGCAATAACTCTGTAAGTTACCGTCCAATAATTCCCATTTTCGAAATCGTCCGAGATCTTATTGATATATGGCTGCATACAAAGTTTCATTTACTGAAGTTATCGTGTTCAAAGGGAAAAAGTTAACGCACGACATACGACGACGGACAAAAAGGTATCACAATAGGTTACCATGACCTATGGTCAGGTAATCTAAAAAGCTGTATATATTGCCTACCTGTATACTTTTTGTTGTTCTTACCTGTTAACCCTTTCACCCCTATGTATCTTTAGTAGACTCTACCATACATTGATCTGGACGAGTCCATTATGGTCTAGTGGTGAAAGGGTAAAATTCAGTAAAGTCGATCAGATGAATGACATGTTGCCAAAACTTCCTAGTGTCACTGAATTGTGCAAAGCACTTAAAACTTTTACATATAAATAGATGTCCATCACCAAGTTGCAACGGGGAACAACACAAGATAAATAGCAAAGTCACTCTACATCCAAGCGCTCGGGCTTAGCCATGACGTCATGGAAACAATGAACTAAACTTTCTTTTTGTGTGTTTACTTCCTGTATTCATATATGGATTTGACATAACCCCTGATGAAGGGATAAGCCCGATAGCTTGGATGTAGAATGACTGTTGCTATTTATTAACCTATAAATTAGAAATGGAGAAAAGCCGTAGGATTCCGCTCATCGTACTATACCTTACAAAAGCCGAGGATGATGGATTTATACATCCTTGAAGTTTTTTCTGTTCTCACTAATTCAAGAAATTCTTGTAAGAAATCTCCTGGTCTGAAATGAAGAAGAAAAATGCTCACATACTCAAACACTTCTAGGGTAATATAATCCTGAATGTAACATAGGAATACAAACGAACCTTAGACGGAGGGGGGGGGGG